GTTATGATGTTTGAAGGGCAACCAGTTAAGAAACAAAATAATGCTAACAGTATAAAGATGTAAAGAAGGCCTCTAATTAAACAAGTTTATTTAGTGAATTTTCTTTTGACATTTTAATTTTTGTTTGTTTTTGTTTACATAGGTTAGAAGAAACAAAAAGTCTTCTTAACAATAAAGTGCATTCTCTAACTGAACTGAGCAAGGAAATTGAAAGAACAAGAGGCTTGGAGGCTAAAGCCTTCCAAGAAAAAGAAGAAATAAGGTCACTACTAGAGGGAAAATATGAAGAAACTGAAAAACTTTCACAAGTAAGAAATAGAAAGGTCATATACTAACAATTTTATATTACTCATTCCATTTTGCATTGAAAAATGGACTGTAGGGTCCCATTTACTTCCTGTGCTTATTTGCTTGAACGACTATAGTTCTGCCATGCCCATATAAAAGATTTTTATGTCTAGCTGTAAGCAAGCTCAGAAAGCTCATGAAGGACATCTTTGACACATATATATGTCCTTGGTGGGAAATTGTTAATTGACTGACTGTCAACAAAAGCACCCAATGGGTGGGAGGAGAGTCTGTTCAACGGAATTCCAAGCTGTTACGGTTTTATTCAGAGTAGTAAGTAGCAATAAGAGACTCAAATTATTGACAATAGAAGAGCAATCAAATAAATAGGACACTCACTTCTGGTTTCTTGGCCATGGCCTATCTGGCACATTAATCAAGTGAAGTGGTTAGAAATACTATAAAAAAACACTATTCTGACATTATATGGAACATTTCTTCTTCAGGAAAGTCAGAGGTATCTCTGATAGTAATGTAAAAGTCCTGTAATTTTCCTGTCAGCATTGCACTTGAAGTAGGTGTTATGGATCATTGTTAAAATCTAGAATGAACATTCAGGGAATCCACTGAAAAGCGAAGAGAAACAACGTTGCACTGGCTGCAGTCAACCCATACCTGATGAATGCAAAAATAAACTCTGCTCTTTTTACACAAGGATAACAGAAGAGGCATTAAAATGCCTTCAATTTCCTTTGTTCTAGTTGCACTGAATACAGACATTCCTGAATTTAATAAAGAGAAAGTAACACATTGTGTCCTATAACAGTCACAATTGTGTACAATGTAATAATGTTTCACTTTTTGCAACAAAAAGTATTCTAAGCATTTTAAATTAAAGTGGTGATTTTGCTTGAAACCCACTAGGTAGCAGCAAACCCAAAAGAGAATAATAAGGTATCTGTAGTTTAAAACTGTTCTTTCATCAGAACCAGAATGGATGATCATATCTTACTGAATTAACAGGTCACCTTGACCCAAATATGTGTCTTATCGATAGGAGGCTGAGATTTAAACCATCAGTGTGCTACCATGTGAGAAATAAACATGTAAGAATGTAATCTAAAAATGTTAGACCTTTGCATGCATAAATGTAACCAGCAACTGTAGTTGAAGTATTTCATGCACCCCCAAAACACACACAGTCATCCAGTTATCTTTTCTAGGGTCTATACAATAATGAAATATTGTTAACAAGATGCACATAAAATGACAATATAACCAATATTTAAAATTATGTACCTCGGTGGTGTTTATTTTTGAAAGTAGTGGTCTAATATGATTAAGCATTGGTATTTTTTATGTTATGATTCTAGTTTCTATGAGAGCCATAACTAATATCTATGTTTATCAATTAATTGTAGGAACTGGATATGCTAAGGAAGCAAGTTGTCTTTCTTGCTGAAGAAAATGGAAAATTACTTGGTCACCAAAATCTCAACCAGAAGATTCAGCACCTTGTTAAACTTAAGAAAGAGAATACTAAACTCATAGAGGTGTGTGTGTTTTTAGATTTATCAAGTGTTAAGTGGATACATTATCATCTTGATTATTTTGACTCTCAAATTAATTTTGCAGTCTTTTTACATTTATTATATGTATGGGACTATGTTTCAAACAATCTCCAAACCACCTTCCACATTGCTGCCATGGCTGAATTGTGACAGTAATATAACCTATTTGTAGTAGAACTAATTAACACCACAGCCACACACCAAACGCTGCCAATCATGAGCTAATTGCAGCAGAAATTTAACACTTAAATAATTGCTAGAAGTTTGTAACACCCTCCTTGAGCTTTCCCACTTGCCCAGACCAGGTAGCATTCTTAACCGCTTCTCTCTCTCAAGTGTTCAGAGCTGGACCAGTGAATGCTTAGTCAGGTGCATGCACAAGTCTCCTTGGTCCATCACAGCTAGGTGCCGTCAGTAAAACGTTAAGTACCTATAGTTCAGCATCATTCATACCGCTACAAAAGAGCAAGGAGACAGGCATAAGGAGTGAAGATAGCACACATGAGCCGTTACTAAATATGTCAAAGTGTAAAATAAAATAGCAAAACACTGTAAATTTAACCTGCATGGTCATTTCCAGTCACTAAATGCGAGTTGTGACGGACCGACTGGATACCTCCATCAATCATTGCTTCCTAGTAATTCTGGAGTACCATGAGCACCGCACCGGACACCATAACCACCGTAAAAAACCCACAAACCGCCGCCGCTTGGTTGGGGTCTCGCTGTCCTCCACCCACCCTGAACTCAAGACCAGGATCCAGCTTTCACTGGGTAGACGTCTCCTAGTCCAGAGAGCAAAGCAGACTGCAGACAAGAGCAATCGTTGTAAGCCAAGGGAGTATAGTGATTATTGCAATCCCCAAAGTGAATATAGCCCCCAAACATGAGCCTAGACTTCATGAAGGGTAAAACGAATCTCTTTAATGGCAGCTACAACTGGCCTTGTATTCAGGTCCCCATGCAAGGGGCGCTCCCCCCTGGACATGAGAGTAGACTACAATAAAAACATACACACGATTACATTGGCTCTCAGGTCCTGGACACTCCCATACAAAATAGATCAATCCCTCACCTGTGCCTGGGAGATAATGGAATCAGCACTGTGTTAAACTCAATTATCTCCAGGCACAGAAAACATACATTTTTACAAAACCCCCAAAATACCTTAAACACAAAATCTCCATAAAAGTTACATCCCCTGATGGCCCTGATCTGGGTGACCAACATATCCAAAAATCACCCAGATCGTTTCAGGAATTTCCTGGAAGTCCTAATTTGACCGATTGCACACATGGTACCATGCCCAAAACAGTTTCAGAGAATCCGGGCTTGCAGTTGGTCTAGTTCGGTAGTTTAAAAGCGAACAAACTATCAAACATAGTCAATAGTCTTACCCTGGAGCTTGTTCCCCTTGTTCGTGGGAACGTTTCCACCGAACAGTGGAAGTCCAGCGGTGTTCGGGAGTTTGTGTCCGAAAATAGTTCCATGAACTTGACGACCAAACACTGCTGCCTTTCTTTCATGCAAACAAGATGGCCTCCACCTTGTGCTCGTCCATAGGAAATGCAGCCACCCAGACAAACACTTAGAATACTGCGGTAGAAATTGCTACAAAGTAGCAATTAGGCTCAACAAGCTCCAGGGTGGTCTCCGATTTGTGCTGCTTTGTGGTTCCTGAACCAAATCTATAAAATCCCACAAACCAGGTCTGTTCACATAGTTTTTTTTTTTTTTTTTTACAGGGCCCATAGTCTTTTGAGGAAAAAAACTCGCCAGCAGGTTCAGTTCGTCACACAAGTGGTTAAGTGGAAATCTTGAGATTTGTAGCTCATACAAAGACCCGTGTGTGCATCTTACCTTTTGTAGGTCTAATCTTAGTATTGCCAATGCCCAATATAGGAAATATGCTTTCGAAGTAAGTGGACTAACTAATAGTGTCATATGTCCCTGGAATATATGTATGGTAGGCAATATTTTGCATAAATAAGTTAGACCACACAATAAACACAGACAGTTTATTTGTTTCAATGGGCTTGGCCATGGTGTTTATTTAACACTTAAAAGGGGCATACCACCATAACTTGATAACGGTAACATATTCACATAAACTTTTCACTTTACTTCCAAAACTTTTAACTTTCACCATCACTTAATTGTCAGTCAGTCATAGCTAACCTGAACGCCTTTTATATACAACCATTTAACACATATCCTTCCTCAGATTTTGAACTGAGGATGACTTTGCCCCAATGCTTTCCAACACCACGACAATAATTATAAAGAAAGTTAGCGAGTAGGGAAGGGCGGGGGTCTGGCCGTGCTTCTCCTGTCTTGAAAGACCTCTGACAGAGATTGTGCTCGCGCTGCCACTTTTATGCTTACCTGGCTTCCCGCTCTCTTTCTCGCTCGCGGCAAGCAACCAATCCCCAGCCAGCTCTTATCCCCAGCAACAGCTGTGTCATCAAATCTGCCCAGTGACTTGTCCTACTCAGCCCAACAACCTAACCAGGGGTCATGAACTTTTACTAACTTTCCCTCACTGAACTAACAGGACAACTAACACTGTATTGCCACCATACATATATGCCACAGTGCTTAATACCTGTGGCATCTTATTCATTAAGATTGTTCATGTTTTTCATACTAGATGTAAGATTTAGTAAAATGTTCTGGTGTAAAAACTGGTGCATAACATTGTTAAAGGGAATGAGTCGCCAATAGAATTTGACTGCTTAGCCCAGTAGTTTCCACAGTGAATTGTCCAATATGTCCTGGGTTTTCTTGAAAATATGATTTGTATATTTATTTTTAATGTCTAGTATTTTCCTCGGTATTCCTTTCATGTGAGTAGTGTCCAGTCATCAGGACATTGCATTTCTCTTTAAAATGCCTATAGTGCTTGGTTTTGTTTTAATGTATCTTTTTTTTTTTTTTTTTTTTTTTAGGATGCGGAAAAAATGCGTATAGAGATTGCCTTCCTCAAAGAGGGGAAAAAATGCGAACACTGCTCCAGTAATGTTTCAAACAAAATATGATCACTTTATCGATGTATTGTCTTTCAAAAAAGCTAAACAAGAAAGCTGCCATACATGGAGACATTATGCAAATACTCTCTTCTGTGACTCCTGGTTAAATCTTACCTAGTGGACTTTTACAATTTTAAATGTGTGTCTAAAATATTTAGAAAGAGAAATAAAAATAATTGCAGTTGCCAAAAATTTTTGGTGTTTTGTTAAAAATCCATTACTAACAAATCCGTACTCTGAACAACCCCATATGCCATGTGCGCATGTACATATTTGAATTCAGAACAAAATAATTTAATTACATAAACCCATCTTTTTTTTTTTTTTTTTTTAATATGGGAGAATTGCCTTCGTTGCTAAAGCAGACGTAGTAAATTATGTGTGCGTGTGCTTCTAAAACAGGGTGTCAATGTTTGAAACTGTGTATCTACTTATTTCTCTACAGCAAACAGAACTGCAAGTTGTCGTGTTTATTCACTAAACCCTGAATTGTAGTCAATTGATGTGCAAATAACAAAATGTAGGCCCAAATTTTTTTATTTCTCATTAAACCACTGCACATTTCTCTTAGTAGAAAATACTGTAAAATATTTGTCTTGGGGGTAACTGTAGATTAGAATTCTTGTATAGAGCAAAACAAAATTGATCCACAATGGGTGTAATTGGAATAACCGCAAGAACCTTAGTGATTGAATTTATGAGTTTATTTACCCAAAGACTAAGGATATATTCTTGTGGTCTTAAAAAAACGAATTTTTGATGAACACATTTACTGATGTTCACGGAAAATATTTATGCCACATTAAATAAAAGTAGCATAGGCATAAATTTTATTGTTCTTACAGTTTATGGAAATATGAAAGGTTTCCACTGTTTGTATTATATTAGTATTCTATTGTATGTCTTCCTTTCTCTCCCTTTTTATCTGAGCCACAAAAACGTAAATAAAATATTTCTACTAATGTTTTGGTTTTCGGCTTTGGTTATTATAAGTTTGTGTGTGTTTAAGAGAAAATAAGTAAATTAAATATAAAAGCTGGGAATATAAACTAATATAGGAAACACACAAATGACACATATACTTGGATGGTATTGTAATAGTATTGATCTCTTTTCTAACATTCACTTGAGAAATGGCCATAATCTATTATTTGAGATTCACTCAAAAAAAAGTTTATATGGACTTTACAAAGATCCTTAAAGGAACACTATAGTGCTAGGAATACAAATCTGTAATTAATAAGTGTATTAAGCAGTATAAGAAAAAGTAACTTTTACAGAAAATTAATTTTGATTAGCAAATAGAAACCGAGCATAATTAAGTTAGCAGACATAATGTGCCTCTAAGAGGATTAAAGGAATTGAACACATGACACTCTGGGATGTCTGATACATACCGTATATACTCGAGTATAAGCAGAGTTTTTCGGCACATTTTTTGTGCTGGAAAACCCCCACTCGGCTTATACTCGAGTCAATGTCTGTATTGTGGAGCTGCACGGAGGAGAAGGGAGCTGCAGGAAGGTAAGTAAGAGCTCCCTGTCAGCCCCCCACTGAACTGCCAATGCCACTGGACCACCAGGGATTTAATATTATTTTATTTTAATAATAAAATAATATTATTAAAATAATATTTTAATATTTGCATTATTTTTTTAAAATGTTTTTTGGTCCCCCCTCCCTGCTTGTTGCCTGGCCAGGGAGGGGGGACAAAAACATTTAAAAAATAATAATGCAAATATTAAAATATAATAAAATAATATTATTTTAATATTATATTATATTATTATTTTAATATTTGCATGTTTTTTTAATGGTTTTTTGTCCCCCCTACCTGCTTGTTGCCTGGCCAGGGAGGGGGGACAAAAAGCATTTAAAAAAAAAAAATAAATAATGCAAATATTAAAATAATAAAATAATATTATTATTTTAATATATTATTTTAATATTTTATTATATTATTTTAATATTTGCATTATTTTTTTTTTGTCCCCCCTCCCTGACCAGGCAATAAGCAGGGAGAGGGGACAATAATGAAAATATTAAAATAATAATATTATTAAAATAATATAATATTAAAATAATATAAAAATGCCCTCCCCTCATCCAGTTTACACACACTGCACACACACACACACTGCATTATATACACACAACAGACAAACACACACACTGCATTCATTATATATATATACACACACACACTCTGCATTCATTATTTGCACACACTGTAAATAAATATTCAATTAATGTAATTTTATTGGGATTCAATTTAGAAATTTACCAGTAGCTGCTGCATTTCCAACCCTAGGCTTATACTCGAGTCAATACGTTTTCCCAGTTTTTTGTGGTAAAATTAGGGGCCCCGGCTTATATTCGGGTCGGCTTATACTCGAGTATATACGGTAAGCGTAAATAGATATAAAAAAAAAAAAATCATTAGAACAGGCGTACCCGAAAGGTCCCCAGATGTTTTCAAAACTACAACTCCCATGATGCTCTGCCATTCTAAAGGCATGCAAAGCATCATGGGAGTTGTAGTTCTGACATTTGGGGATCTACCTTTTTGGCAGCTCTGCGTTAGAACATTAACAAGAACTATAGCATGTCAAACGTTTCTAAATACGGAACCAGACTATGTTAGTAAGTAAGACGAGCCCCATGCATCGGAGGAGAAAGGTCTCCTCCGATGAACAGAACTAGCATGATTGGTGTGCAATAGAAAGGAATACAAATCTGTATTTCAAACACTATTGTTCCTGGCTCTGCTCTTATTCAAGAGAAAATGAAGCAATTTAAAATTGGATTAGATAAAGGGATCAATAGAATACATATTTAAAAAAAAAAAAAAAAACAGTCCAAACACTTAAATTGGATCTTTAAAAGCATCCTGTTACAAATATAAGCATGCCAATGGTGTTTGCAAAAGGGGAAAATAAATGGGCTAAACTGCAAAATGAAAAACTCATGGCCAAAGAGGGCAAGACCAACCCCCACAAAACTTAAAGGAACGTTAGTGTCAAGAATCTCTGAAAAGGCAGTGTGTACATTAAAATGCCTGCAGGGAGAGGTTATAGACACCAGTCTGTTATGAGTATTTACACTAAAAAAATCTATTTGTACGATTTAAAGGCACAGCGCACTTTAACTATTGGAATTATATTATTTAAGTGTTTATTTGAAGCTAAATACATATTTAAGGTGCTGCTAATACATTTGTTTTTTTTTCGTTTAGTGCCATCCTTTACTTGTGAGATTATTGTAACATAGACACGAGAACCACTACATTAAGCTGTAGTTGTTTTAGTGACTATAGTGTCCATTTAAGTATGTTAATGCCAAAAAGGTTAAACGTGAAATTGTTGTTACATTTGAATTCGAGATGGTTGCGTTAATCAAGGAGGATCAGGACAAGGCAGACGTTCTAAATAAAAAAATTTTTATTCAGTATGAACAAAGAATCTATGGCCTTAAACTTGAAAACCCCTGTTACAAAAGCCTTGCAGCAGTCAGGTGATTAGTTAATCCTGGAAAAAGTGCAGCAATTCAACACTATAGGCTCCAAAATGGTAGCTTAATGAAGCAGTTTTGGTGTATATATCATGTCTTACTGCTCAATTTCCTGTCATTTAGGAGTTAATGGTTTGTGCAGCCCTAGTCACACCTCCCTGTGTTTGACTTACACAGCCTGCCTAAACACTTCCTGTAAGGAAGGATCTAATTATTAGACTTTTGGAGAAAACCAGATGTGGTGCCCAAACTTAGGTCTAAAATCTCAACCCAAAAATACAGTGCTGCGAGCTTCACATCTGTACTTGAGAAATATTGTGAAGGTCTGTTAAGGGATAACATTCAGGAATTTATTTTAACCAACAATACCATTTGCAGGGATCAACATGGTTTTGTGAAAAACGGTTTTGCTAAACTAACTTAATTGTATTCTATGTAAAAGTTAGATAGAAATATGCTTCAGGGTATTCCAGTCTATGTGATCTACTTGCAAATAGTAAAGGTATTTGATACAGTTACACAAAAAAGATTTCAAAATTTAAATCAATGTATTCTTGGATAGAACATTGGCTTAAAGATAGAGTGCAGGGAATAGTTGTAAATGTAAAATGTTCAAATTGAGCAACATTGGTAAGTAGAGAGCCCTTGAGTTCTGTCCTGGGTCTACTTCTCTTTAATCTGTTTAAAAACTATATTGAAGTGCCCGTGGAAAGTCATGACTTGATGTTTGCAGATGACACATAACTAGGTAAAATACCGTTCAAACATGATATTGTTTCTCTGCAGAGGGATTTGGATAAATTGGGGGACTGGCAAGGCAGGTGGCGGATCAGATGCAATACAGCTTTAATGTAAAGTCATGCATTTTGGAATAAAGAACCCACATGCCACATACATTAAATGGGGTTGAATTAGGGATTACATTAAATGAAAAGGACCTGGATAACAAACTAGGCAACAGTCTGTAATGCCAGTCTGCTATTGCAATGGCTGGTCTAGTTAGGTTTGAGATCTGACTGCCATTCTGGGGTCGAGAAGGATTTCTTCCATTGATTTGTTGCAAAATTGTAAAGATCTCCAAACAGGGTTTTTGGCTTTCTTTTGGATCAACCGCCGTTGTGAGAAAGGATGAACATGATAGAGGCAAGTTTTTTTTATTTCCAGCCTATGCAACTATATAAATATGAAATGTTTTGCTTTGTGGCATATGTCACTCCGAAGGGCCCTACAGGACTACTGAACCCCTCCCCCCACCTTTAAAAAAAAAATAAAAAAAAATAGATCCTGGGAAGGCTGTATCTGGCGTGTCGGTTCTCCTCTTCTTGGGAGTCTGCTGCCATTGTTGTCTTGGTGCGTTTGGAGGCGGGACCGGTCAATACCCATCTTGAATGTGGAGGTCTGGCAGATCCAGCGCCCGCAGAAACACAGGTACATCAGCTATTGTAAAAGTTGTTGGATCAGCGCTTAGTGACCAGTAGATAGCTTAGATAAAAAGGGCCGCAACCTAATGGTATGATGTTCCCTCACAAACCATCAAAAAAAGTACAAATGTAAAAACAGAAAAGGTATAGGTCGTGCCAGTACTGATAGTATAAAATAATAAAACCAATGAGTACTTAAGCATAAAATGCTTAAAAGGGAACAAAGTCCTGAATAAAAAAAATGGTATAGTCCAAGTTGATTGAAGAAATAAGAGTACGGTAGATCTTATGTGGTCAGAGAGAGTCCAATATCCAGATGGCGTAGAGGCATGAAAATAAGAGAAAGTTCCAATAGTGTAAAACTGTAGACAAAGGCGAAATATAATAGTAGTAGTACCCCCTCCTACTCACCTAGTCTAGCGCTAGAGCCAGCTCCGGTGTAGATCGCATTCAGTGGCGTTGATCCCCCACTAGTAGGATATAGGTGTTGGTAGGCAGGTGAAGATTCTCAATATGTGAAAGGAAAAAATAAAAGTACCAATATCAGGAGGTTGGTACTTTAAAAAGGTATAATACTCCCATGTGGGTGAGCAGGATATGCTGCTCACATATGAAAGCGTAGGTGGTATAATCCCCACCTAGGATTCTTGGGTGAGTGGGAATTCCAGAGTATATAATAACCAGGTTATTATTAAAAAATAAATCAATAAAATATAAAAAAGTTATGACATAAGCAAAATATCAGGGGCCAATATTCCTTTAATGATATAAATTTAAAAAAGTAAAAACCGTAAAAAACAACAAAAAACTGCCAAACGCGTTTCGCCACACAGGGCTTCATCAAATGGCAATCAAAATATAATATATATTTTATTTATTATTTTCAACTCAAGATTCAGATTTATTGATATAAATTTATGAATTGCCTCCCACAGATTATTTAATTTTGTACACTCCCACCAGATATGTTTATATGTTCCTGTGGTCAGCCCACATCTCCAACTTAGATGGTCTGTTGAGGGGAACATTTTATTCAATTTTTCTGGCACCAAATGCCATCTGTTTAACACTCTAAAATTAGATTTTCTTAGATTTAATGAATATGTAATTTTTGATACTTTTACCATAGAGGAACCCCAATTTTTGATGTCTATATTGGTATTCAGTTCTTTCTTCCAGATATTTAGAGCCGTGGGTATTTTTTCCTAATTGCAGGATCTACTTAAAGATAAAGCTTTTGAGAGTGGTTTATCCACCCTATATGAGTTAAATAGTAAGATTATTCTTTTGGACAGATTAGACTCTGATTCCATTAGATGTGACATTAAGAAGCTCTTTATTCTCAAAAAATTAAATAATTATTTTGGTGTTAAATTAAATTCTTGCATAAGTTGCGTAAAGGGTTTAATAGCTGTGTTATCTTCATAATTCCAGCTTGTATCCACTTATTCAAATTAATGTCACAAACCTGTTGTTCAATGAACTTCAAGTCTAAATTATTTGGGACTTTATTTTTTATTTTTAGAGTTATTTTAATTTTTTTCCAACTCTTTAACAAATGTGTTAAGATTATATTAGGATATTCCTTTTTATCTGTTTTCATGGTGTTCCAAATCAAACTTTCCACATATTTAACCTCTCCTGCTTTAGCCTCCATCATATACCATCCTTCATTTATATTATCAGATATCTTCATCCTATAGATATGTAAAATTATTGCTTCTATATAATTATTTTGATTAACAGGATATGCCAGTCCTCCCTTGTTTAATTTCTGTGCCAATGTTATTTGGCTTAATCTTGGATTTTTACCTTTCAATATATATACTGCTCAAAAAAATAAAGGGAACACAAAAATAACACATCATAGATCTGAATGAATTAAATATTCTTCTGAGATACTTTGTTTACATAGTTGAATGTGCTGACAACAAAATCACACAAAAATTTAAAAATGGAAATCAAATTTTCAACCCACGGAGGTCTGGATTTGGAGTCACATTTAAAATTAAAGTGGAAAAACACACTACAGGCTGATCCAACGTTGATGTAATGTCCTTAAAACAAGTCAAAATGAGGCTCAGTAGTGTGTGTGACCTCCACGTGCCTGTATGACCTCCCTACAATGCCTGTGCATGCTCCTGATGAGGTGACAGATGGTCTCCTGAGGGATCTCCTCCCAGACCTGGACTAAAGCGTCTGCCAAATCCAGGACAGTCTGTGGTGCAACGTGACGTTGGTGGATGGAGCGAGACATGATGTCCCAGATGTGCTCAATTGGATTCAGGTCTGGGGAACGGGCGGGCCAGTCCATAGCATCAATACCTTCGTCTTGCAGGAACTGCTGACATACTCCAGCCACATGAGGTCTAGCATTGTCTTGCATTAGGAGGAACCCCGGGCCAACCGCACCAGCATATGGTCTCACAAGGGGTCTGAGGATCTCATCTCGGTACCTAATGGCAGTCAGGCTACCTCTGGCGAGCACATGCAGGGCTGTGTGGCCCCCCAAAGAAATGCCACCCCACACCATTACTGACCCACTGCCAAACCGGTCATGCAGGAGGATGTTGCAGGCAGCAGAACGTTCTGTTACGCTACTTGGGTGATTTGGATTGGAACTCAACTGCAGCTTGTAAAACTCCCTAATTACAATAGTGAAGAAACAGAGAATCTTTAAAGTATCAATACTGTAGCTTTAAGAAAAGAGAGAATTGCTGGTAACTTGATTCAAACAAAGTTTTAATAAGTGTTAAACTTAAATGAATTGCATTTAGGCAATAATCCAATAAGAAGAAGTGCAAGTAATCAACAACACAAAGTTCATTATTAAAGGACCACTATAGTGCCAGGAAAACATACTCGTTTTCCTGGCACTATAGTGCCCTGAGGGTGCCCCCACCCTCAGGGACCCCCTCCCGCCCGGCTCTGGAAGGGGGAAAGGGGTAAAAACGTACCTTTTTCCAGCACTGGGCGGAGAGCTCTCCTCCTTCTCTCCTCCTCTTCTCCGCCCCGTCGGCTGAATGCGCACGCACGGCGAGAGCTGTGTGCGCATTCAGCAGGTCACATAGGAAAGCATTCATAATGCTTTCCTATGGACGCAGGCGTGCTCTCACTGTGAAAATCACAGTGAGAAGCACGCAAGCGCCTCTAGTGGCTGTCAATGAGACAGCCACTAGAGGGAATAGGGGGAAGGCTTAACCAGCTTAATCTCTGAAACTGCTATGTTTATAAAAAAATGGGTTAACCCTAGAAGGACCTGGCACCCAGACCACTTCATTAAGCTGAAGTGGTCTGGGTGCCTAGAGTGGTCCTTTAAGTATTTCTTCAGAGATGAATAAAGTAACATTCTTTAAGTACATGAGAATAATCTTCAATAGAAACAATAAGCAAGTAGCTAAGAATATTTGCAGAGCAAGAACAGTTCATAGTTAATAAGCATGATGGGAGTTGTCCTCCATATAATTAGTAGCTTGAAGCAGTGAAGATTTGAGTAAGCAAGCATTAGTTCATTATTAAATGATATTGTAGACAAATAGCTGAAAGATATACTTAAGGTTAATGTGAGTAGTCCTCCAATAGTTCAGAGATATGTCCACTTGTAAAGTAAGTGAATTTCTATTCTCCAGCAATCCTCTATGGCATGAAGCAGACTTGTCTTAGCCCAGAAGGCTAGGACGACTTCAGAGCTTGTAGAGCAGGCGTGTCCCAGAAGCCGGCGTGCATACTCGGAAGTAGGACCCACATTGCCAGAGCCTGCGGAGAGGTAAGTCTGGCAGAAGTAACTCCCAGTATCACCAAGCACCCTCTCTCTGGCGCGGTCTCCCTAAATACCGTCAGAGCTGCATCAGAGGGGGGCGGGGTCCGGCTCCGCACAGAGGAGTGCCGAACCCGGAAGTGTTACCGCATGACACGTTCTCCACAGCGTCTCCAGACTCTGTCACATCTGTCACATGTGCTCAGTGTGAACTGGCTTTCATCTGTAAAGAGCACAGGGCGCCAGTGTCGAATTTGTCAATCTTGGTGTTCTTTGGCAAATGCCAAACATACTGAACGGTGTTGGGCTGTAAGCACAACCCCCACCTGTGGATGTCAGGCTCTCATACCACCCTCATGTAGTCTGTTTCTGACCGTTTGAGCAGACACATGCACATTTGTGGCCTGCTGGAGGTCATTTTGCAGGGCTCTGGCAGTGCTCCTCCTGTTCCTCCTTGCACAAAGGCTGAGGTAGCGGTCCTGCTGCTGGGTTGTTGCCCTCTTACGGCCTCCTATACGTCTCCTGATGTACTGGCCTGTCTCCTGGTAGTGCCTCCATGCTCTGGACACTACGCTGACAGACACAGCAAACCTTCTTGCCACAGCTCGCATTGATGTGCCATCCTGGATGAGCTGCACTACCTGAGGCACTTGTTTGGGTTGCAGACTACGTCTCATGCTACCACTAGAGTGAAAGCACCGCCAGCATTCAAAAGTGACCAAAACATCAGCCAGGAAGCATAGGAACTGAGAAGTGGTCTGTGGTCACCACCTGCAGAACCACTCCTTTATTGGGGGTGTCTTGCTAGTTGCCTATAATTTCCACCTGTTGTCTATCCCATTTGCACAACAGCATGTGAAATTGATTGTCACTCAGTGTTGCTTCCTAAGTGGACAGTTTGATTTCACATAAGTGTGATTGGGAGTTACATTGTGTTGTTTAAGTGTTCCCTTTTTTTGAGCTGTGCATATTGCATAAAGCTTCTTTGAATCATTTCAAGCCAGTTGTTAGAGATATAAAAAGGTAGCATTTGTTAATATACTTGTAATAACCAAGATTGATGTCTCTCACCGCAATTGGGCCTTATGTATAATAACAACTATAGGGGTAACCAACTTTTGATCACCAGTTACGCTCATGTCACGAAGGGGCATAACTCAGGAGACGGGAAAGAGTATGGGGGATGCTCCGAGAAAACAGGGACACACAAGGCTTTAATATGTATCGGTACCTAAAGAGAGTACGAGAGGGGCGGGTGGACGCGAAGTTGAATTAGAACTAGTAACTAGACACGACTGGCAAGCAGGTCACAGCAGATAACCTATCACCAAACCATCAACTTGCAGGCAACTGCCCGCAGCACCCCCCTTCCCCAATAGCTACTACTCTCTACCGACAACCACCATGCAAAGACCAATAGAGGTATAAAGGCCCCATGACAACTGTCCCGCATGGTTGGGCATTGTGCCCTGGGACAATGGCCCACGATGGGGCTATACATAAGCGACTAACATTGACCCCTACGAGAACACGAAAACAAATTCAAAACATGGTACAATAATATCCCAGACGGGACAAGTTCCGTGCCCTGCTCGGCCCCCCTCCACTTCCCGCCCACTGCTCAGGATAGTTATAGTAACGGTTGTATCCACCTAAACATGGGTCTCGACAGGGTCCTGGGAAACCGTCCTCCGCCCCGCTAGAGGTGATCCCCTCAGCGAAGTGGACGCACACCCCCATAGCTCCTGGTGACTGCTAAGATCCGGAATTGTTCATTAGACCCTCCACGGACTAATTTGTATATTTGTATATCGTTTTTTTCTCAGGTAGTAGACGACACATAGCCTACTACCCCATCTCTCTTACTTTCTTTTCTACCTCTCTCTCCTGCCCATATCTTCAGCTTCCCCTATCTCAACCCACCCCCACCTTCCCCTCTCTCCCATCACCCTCTGGAGAAGCGGATGTACCACAGGAGGAGCAGGCCGACCAGCAACTAGCAGACGCAGCACAGACCTACAGTGGGATACTCAAGCATGGTATGAGTATAAAACCACATCATACGCAAATACGACATGGACCTCCTACTGACCTCCTTAAATGTTAATGGACTAAATACCCCCAACAATCGTAGGTTACTCCTCAGGGAAATCCACAGGCAAAAGGCTGACATAGCATTCATTCAAGAATCCCACATACCACGCACTTCTAAGGTACAAATAACAAACCACATCTATACAAGGACTTACACTTCCAGGGCAGCCTATAAAAAAAAAATGGTGTAGAAATACTCATACACAAAAGATGCCCCATCCAGGTTAAGGTAGTCCAAACGGACAGAGAGGGTCGGTACGTGGTGCTCTCAGGCACATTGTACAATAATACCTACCACTTCATCAATTTCTATGGCCCGAACACCCCTATCCCGCAGTTCTGGACAGACCTGGAAACCTTGATCAGAACCCTCCCGAGAGGAACACTCATACTAGGGGGAGACCTAAACGCCACACCCTGCCCAGCATCTGACGGTAGTGGGGGACAATATCTCCCCCGATCACACAACAGAGGTGGACAAGACAAACTTCTACACAACTTCATACAAAACACGGGCCTACTGGACCAGTGGAGACTCCAACACCCGGGAGAACAGGACTACATGTTTTTTTCAGCAGCACATAAAACCTACTCATGCATAGATCTCTTCCTTACCAACAAAATAGGCATGCAATGGATCAGAACCTCGGTGATTAACCCGATATCATGGTCAGACCACGCAGACATTGCGCTCACCTTAAAAACCCAGTAACTATGCACCATGGAAATGGAGGCTGAACGCCTCTCTCCTCAGGGACCCGCAAATAAAAGAGGACATTCAAAAAGAAATTGCACAATACTTCCAGACCAACAACACACCAGACATATCCCCAACAATGCTCTGGACGGCCCACAAAACAGTGATACGCGAACTCCTCATACAGATAGCACCCCGACAAAAACAAAAAATATGATAAACTTACAGACTTACAAAAACAACTGCGCAAAATAGAACTGCAACACAAACAGACGGTCACCCAGACCACGACCAGGGAACTAATGGAAATCAGATGACTAATCATGACACTAATGATAGATGACATAAGTACAGAACTCATAAGAACGAAAATACTTTTCTACGAAAAGTCGAATAAAATGGACACACTACTCGCAAAAGCCCTCAGACCCAAAACCAATGCCCCCATGATAACCGCCACTAGAAACAAACAGGGACAGATTCTCACAAACCCGACAAACATAAATGAAGAATTTACAAAATTCTTCATGGCAGTGTACAACCACTCCCCCACACTAACAGAAGACAACGTGGCACACACGTCAGCAGTGGCAGCATTTCTGGACAAAGTCCAACTTCCACAACTCAAGGCGGACCTGATAGCACCCCTGGGAGCCCCGATAGAAAAGGAGGAGGTAGAAAGAGCAATAGCAGGACTCAAAGGAAACAAGGCCCAAGGTCCAAATGGCTTTGAAGGGGCATATTATAAAACATACAAAGATGACCTGACACCCCACCTGACCAGGATGTACACACAATGGACAGCAGGAGAGGCCCCTTCTCCAGACCTTACAACCGCAAACATCACACTTATTCCAAAACCAGACAGAGACTCCACACAAGTGACCAACTACTGCCCCATCTCTCTCATAAACTTTGATGTAAAGTGCTTCCGTGCAGACTAAATCCCCTCCTGACTAAATATATACACTCAGACCAGGTGGGCTTTGTGCCTAATAGACAACTATACGAAAACACAAGACGAGGTGGACCTCATGTGGTGGGCCGGAAAGTTCCGAACGCCTTCTCTAGTCCTCTCTCTGGACGCGGAGAAGGCGTTCGATAGGATCCAATGGCACTATATGATTGCACTGCTACGAAAGCTACAAATACCAGACTTTTACATAACAGCAGTGAAAGCTCTATACAACAACCCCAGAGCACAGACAGTGGTACAGGGTGCGCCGCCGCGCCCGTTCGACCGCACAAATGGCATGCGTCAGGGTTGTCCCCTAACACCCCTCCTGGTCATATTGGCCCTAGAACCATTGCTACAGTCAATAAGATCCCACCCACAGATATGATATACGGACGAAGAGGCGATTATCAGCTGCAACGTAGCTTGATATAGTTACATTTGATACAAAGAAGGGTAGTCATGAAATAGCAATAATGTAATTAACAGGCTCCTTTAACCCCTTAAGGACCAAACTTCTGGAATAAAAGGGAATCATGACATGTCACACATGTCATGTGTCCTTAAGGGGTTAAGGGGTTAAAAGAAGAACTTGTACGATGAAGTAAACAATAACCACTGGTACTGCATGATATGTTCCTAGCTAATACGCTTGTCTGAACAAATAGAAGCGCCCCGTTGTATACACAAATGTTTTTATATGTCGCTTCCTTTTTTGTACATTAACCATGCATGACTCGATAAATAAAGAATACAAATATTACAAAATTTAGCATTTGAAACATATAGTTCCACTTTGGGATGACATATGAATTAATTACATTAATCCTTCCCCAAAAAGTTATCTCTAGGTTTCTGCGGTCTTTTAACCATCTGTTTATTTTTTGTAGCAAATCCAAAAATTTATTTCCATGAGTTTATTTATATCTCTAGTTAGTTTAATACCTAAATAGTCCAATTTCTCTTCTACCCATAAAATTTTTTATTTATCTTTAATTTTCCTTTTTTTTCACTCTCTAAATTAATGTCTAAGATCATGGACTTGTTGGTATTAAGCTTATAGTTAGATATCAGGCTATAACTTTTCTATTTCTAATATAAGAATATCTAGTGAGACACTAGGATTAGTTAGCGTAATTAAAATATCGTCTTCATACAGACTTATTTTTTGATCCTTATTAAATATTTTATAGCCATTGATTTCTTTATTATTTCTTATGCTGTCGGCTAATGGTTCGATAGAAAGCAAATACAATATTGGTGAAAGCTGGCAGCCTTGACGTGGTTCCATTTTTCAGCTGAAACCATGGGGAGCTTATATTTGGACCTTTTGTGCGAGCTGTTGGGTTAACATACAGAGCGATAATGGCCTTTTTAATCCATCCCACAAGGCCGTAATGTGTTAATACAGCTTCTAGATAGTTCCAGTTGACTCTGTCGAATGCTTTCTCAGCATCAATCGACAGAGTCAACAATGGAATTTTTTCCCTTGTCCCATCATCCAAAATATTTATAATTCTTCTAATGCTGGTATAAGAATTCTTGCCTGGATCGTAACCTATCTGATCTTGTTGTATGATTGATGATAATATTTTTTTTAATCTAGCCGACAAAATTGAGGCATACAATTTAGTGTCTACGTCAATGAGAGATATCGGACAATAATTTTTAACATCTGTAGGAGTTTTATTTTGTTTTAAAATAGGTAGAATATTTGCTTTGATAATCTCTACTGAGAAAAATCCTATTTTGGCTGCATAAGTAAAGGTATTAGTTAGATGAGGACTGATTTGTTCTATAAATGATTTGTAAAATAGATTACATAATCCGTCTGGACCAGGGGTTTTAAATTTTTCTAAATTGTTTATAGCCAGTTTAACTTCTTTAATAATTATTTCTTTATTCAGTGAGCGTCTATCTGAATCCATGATCTGAGGTCAAGATATTTTTTTATATCTTCTTTAGTTGTTGTTTGTGGAAGAATATACAATTTGCTATAAAACTTACTAAAGTGTTGACCTATATCTTTAGGTGATTCTAATATTTTGTATTTATTTATTAATTTATCCACTTTGTTTGAACCTTTTTGCTGTCTAAGTTTTTGGGTTAACATTTTGTCCACTCTATTCCCTTTAGAATAATATTTAAGTTTTAATCTATCTAAAATTTCTTTCCATTAACTTTTGGTTTAGTTTTTCCTTTACATCAATTATTCTATTAGAATTCTCAACTGTTGGGTTTTGTTTGTTAATTTGTGTTCATTTTCTTAATTCTGTATAAAGATCACTTAATTTAAAATTTTTATTAACTTGGCTTTGTAGTTTGATAAAATGTCCTCTGATTACTGCCTTAAAGGCGCACCATAGGCTCATTGGATCATTATTCTCCGTCATATTTTCTCCAAAATAGTTAATATTTAATTCAATATGTTTTCTGTTATATTCTGAACACAATAAGCTATCATTTAGACGCCAACTATAAGTTTCTTTTGTCTTTTTACTGGCTCCAATTTCACAAATCACTCCATTGTGGTCTGTCCAGGTTATTTCGTTAAATTCTATTTTAGATATTATATCTATGAGCATAGGGTCTGTCCAGATCATATCTATCCTTGAATAGGAAATATTAACTCTTGAAAAATGCGTGTAATCCAGTTAATTTGTGTTTATAATTCTCCAAATGTCATAAAGATTAAATTCATTACATAGAAACATAGAAACATAGAATGTGACGGCAGATAAGAACCATTCGGCCCATCTAGTCTGCCCAATTTTCTAAATACTTTCATTAGTCCTTAGCATTATCTTATAGTTAGGATAGCCTTATGCCTATCCCACGCATGCTTAAACTCCTTTACTGTGTTAACCTCTACCACTTTTTTTTTTTTTTTTAAGATTTAGCTTGTTTGAATACCATTTTATTAATTTTGTGATTTGTCATAAGTGCGATGATTATGGCTTACAGCTCATGAAAACCCCAAATCCACAATCACAGTAAATTAGAATATTGTGAAAAGGTGCAATATTCCAGGCTCACAGTGTCCCACTCTAATCAGTTAAGTAAGCCACAACACCTGCAAAGGGTTTCTGAGCCTTTAAATGGTCTCTCAGTCTGGTTCAGTAGGAATCACAATCATGGGGAAGACTGCTGACCTGACAGTTGTGCAGAAAACCATAATTGACACCCTCAAAAGGTAATTGCAAAGAAAGTTGGATGTTCCCAAAGTGCTGTATCAAAGCACATTAATAGAAAGTTATGTGGAAGGGAAAAGTGTGGAAGAAAAAGGTGCACAAGCAGCAGGGATGACCGCAGCTTGGAGAGGATTGTCAGGAAAAGGCCATTCAAATGGTTTGGGGACTTTCACAAGGAGTGAACTGAGGCTGGAGTCAGTGCATCAAGAGCCCCCACACACAGACGGATCCTGGACATGGGCTTCAGATGTTGTATTCCTTTTGTCAAGCTGCTCCTGAACAACAAACAACGTCAGAAGCGTCTTACCTGGGCTAAAGAAAAACAGACATGGTCTGTTGCTCAGTGATCCAAAGTCCTCTTTTCTGATGAGAGCAACTTTTGCATCTCATTTGGAAACCAAGGACCCAGAGTCTGGAGGAAGAATGGAGAGGCACACATTGCAAGATGCTTGAAGTCCAGTGTGAAGTTTCCACAGTCTGTGTTGATTTAGGGAGCCATGTCATCTGCTGGTGTTGGTCCACTGTGCTTCATTAAGTCCAGGGTCAACGCAGCCGTCTACCTGGAGATTTTGGAGCACTTCATGCTTCCTTCCGCAGATGAGCTTTATGGGGATGCTGACTTCATTTTCCAGCAGGACTTGGCACCCACACTGCCAAAAGCACCAAAGCCTGGCTCAATGTACTTGATTGGCCATCAAACTCGCCTGACCTGAACCCCATAAAGAATCTATGGGGCATTGCCAAGAGAAAGATGAGAGACATGAGACGGAACAATGCAGAAGAGCTGAAGGCCGCTATTGAAGCATCCTGGTCTTCCATAACACCTCAGTAGTGCCACAGGCTGATAGCTTTCATGCCACGCCGCATTGAGGCAGTAATTGCTGCAAAAGGGGCCCAAACCAAGTACTGAGTCCATATGCATGCTTATACTTTTCAGAGGTCCAATACTGTTCTATGTACACGCCTTGTTTTATTGACTGCATGTAATATTCTAATTTACTGAGATTGTGGATTTGGGGTTTTCATGAGCTGTAAACCAAATTCATCGCACTTATGACAAATCACGGCTTGAACTATCTTGCTTTGCATGTAATGCGTCTATCTCATATATTAGTTTCCCCTTTTACGTTGCATTACTGAAATAAATGAACTTTTGCACGATATTCTAATTTTTCGAGTATCACCTGTAATTGGTTTGTAAATCCGATGGACTCTTTCAATTTGATACTCTGTTGTCGATACTTCAGGGAGGACAGCTTTGAATAGACCAAATAGGTAGTCTTCCATTTTTTCGGGCGTAATATCTTCAGATATGCCACAAAACCTTAAGTTGAATTTACTAGATCTGTCCTCTAGTTCTGAAATTTTTTGTTCAAGGCTATTTGTTTTGCTTGTTAAAAATTCCACTGTTTCTTTAAGAGTCATGATTTGCTTTTCTTCCATCACACTTATTTCTGCGATTTTTTTTTGTATCTTGTTTGATATCATTAAAATTTATAAGCATGTCTTGTCTTAGTGCTTGAAGCTGTGACTCCAGTAATTGCTTTATCTGTTCATGTAGGTTATTATGTTAATTTTTTGTAAAACCATAGGTTCTGCACTTATATCTGTTGTGTTTGCTGAATAGATGGGGCTTTCTACTTCTGTATATGGTTCTTGTACATCTTTTGAAGGAGTGGAAGCAAAAAAAGCCTGAGAGCTTTTTTCAGTTTTTTTGTTGATTTTATTTCTTTTCTTTTTTCTATTGCAGTTTTTTTGTTGCCATTTTAAGGAGCTTACTTAAATCTGCTTTAACCTCTCCTAAATTGAGAGGATTATTTATTTCTTATTTACCAGTCTTCTCTCTTTGCTCCCTTATTTCCTTCCTTTTATTATTTTATTTTTTTCGGGTTGTTTCCTCTCTCCTTTTTCATCCCCCCCTTTTAAAAAAAAAAAAAATTTCCTTCCCCTTGTTTTCTCCTACTTCTTTCTCTTTTTCTTTCTTTCTTTCTTTCTTTTTTTTTGCAACACGCTTATTTTAGCAAACAAAAAACAGAAAATAATTTCTTACTTATTCAGTCTCCTTTTATGCAGTTCTGTTTTCTACTGAGTTTGCACATTTAAGTCTCAGCAAATAATTTCTAAATTTCATTAGTCTGATTCTAGATATTTTTTCTTTTAACGGACGCCAAACAACAGTTCCAATATATCGCCAGTACTCACTGCTCTATACAGCTTTTTGTTTTCAGCTGTGTTCGGATATTTTTCGAAACCGCTCTAGAGCCGCCACGAAACACGAGCGGATGTCTCTCAGCCTCTCCAGGTCCGCCCTGCAGCACACGGTCGTCGGTGATGCCGCAATCTGCTGCCGCCAGTCAGCCTTGGTAACCCCGCTGCTTGTCAGACTCGCTTCAGAGGTTCATTAGCATTCAGTGAAGTTCAGCTTACTCGCTTAGTTGCTTCATCGCCTAACCGGGTACGCCCACCTCCTGTACGTGTTGCGTCTCTACGTCATCACGTACCTGCTGACTCTGCTTTTTATTGATTTGATGTCAGCCCCTATAGTGTCCAGTTTGGTTTAAAACAATTTCTCAAGTTTGTTTAGCATGTGTGCAATATCTTGTTTAGATGGGAGTGCTTGTAACAGGTCTTTAATATAAAAATTATATATCTTTATATATCTCAGAATTATCCACAACCCCAACATCTACCCCCTGGCTCAGCCCTCTACCCCATACAGGTTCACCTGACTCCATGACTTATCCCTACAAAGGTCTATGTGACACTTTACAACCCCCAGTCCCAATAAATTCACTGCATCAGCAAGCTCACTCACAAACACACAAAACCAATTACACAGATTTGCACTCGTAGCAACAAAATGTTACTTTTCACACACCCTCTCTCAGGGAGTTACACTCAATACCGACATTGGCATCCTAACGTCTAGCTCACCTGGACACGTTGGAAAAACATTCACACTACTCATAATGCTTGGCTCACACCATAGATCTGAGATACCTACTCCAAGGTGCATAGTTAATTCCCAGGTGGTATTGTTACCCCATTTTGGGACATTCACTGAAGGATGCCATTCTACATTCTACTCACCACACACCCTTGTACATAGTTCTGCACTTACTGGGCATCTTCTGATCACTTTATTTTATTTTAAGTTTTACCCACTCCAGAAACCACTGCTTGTGCTTTGCCATACGACTGTGGAAATCGGAAGAGAATCCGCCCTTCACATAAGTCCCCCTATGGCCAATATACAAATAGTCACCCTCAATGTTAAGGGCCTCGATTCCCCCGAAAGCGATCCCTGACACTGACAGAAATCCACAAACTAAAAGCTGACATAGCTTTTTTACAAGAAACACACTTCAAAAAAATAGGCCGCACCCAAACTCCGTAAAAGCACATATCCAATTGGTTACTTTAGCAACTTCAGCGAAGCCAAAGCAATGGGCATGGCAATAGTGATTTCAGCTCATCTGCCCTTTACATATACAGCACACAAATCAGATGAAACTGGCAGATTATTGATGGTCAATGGAGAGAAAAACACAAATAAGGGTGCGCCTAAGACAAGTAGAATGAATGTATAAAAATATATATCAGAGAGTCCAAGCAGCGATACCTAGAAAGTCCAAATATAAATAATCCACATATGCAGGAGGTAGTCCTAGTGCTACATAAAAAGTTCCTATACGCGTTTCGCCACAATAGGCTTCATCAAGTAGAAACTTATAAACTTATAAGTTTCTACTTGATGAAGCCTATTGTGGCGAAACGTGTATAGGAACTTTTTATATAATCTAAGTGTTAATAAAGGAATATTTGGCTATTATACATTTGATTGCCACATTCCTCTTTCCACCTTAGTATTATATTACCTTCTTTTAGTATAATTTTATTATTTTACTATTTGCAAGTTTATTTTATTCAGACCTGACTACTACTACCTTTTTGTCCATATTGGAGTACCAAGAATCCTAAAGTGGGGATTATACCACCCATACGCCATCCACCGAGCAGTACATCTGCTCTATATACCGTGAGTATATTTTATTCTGTTTTTACATTTTAGCAACTATACAGTGAGCACTATATTTTATTCTTTTACCTCGAACTGGACTACTCCACCAAAGTACTCTGCACCGTATATCCTTGAGTGGGGATTATTCCACTACGTGCCATTTACACCAGAGCTGGATTTAAGCTCTGAATATTGTGAGTAGTTCTACTATTCTATATACAATCTTATTTACCGTTCATACTATACCATTGGAGTTTCCCTTGTCTTCTGTTTTCTTCACATATCCATTTTGAAGCTGTGGATATACATCTGGGACTTCACATACCATTTTATGTAGCACTAGGACTACCTCCTGCACAGTGGCGTACACATGACCCACGGGGCCCCGGTGCAAAAATTGATCCGTGGCCCCCCCCCCACCCCCCCCGCGCGCGCTTACTCGGCGCGGGTCGGGGTCACAACACATGGTGGCGGGCACCTGGTCGCAGGGGTTGCAGGGCTGCGACCCCGCGACCGCGGTATGCACACACACTTAAAGGATCACTACAGACACCCAGATCACATCAGCTCAATGAAGTGGTCTGGGTGCCAGGTCCCTCTAGTTTTAACCCTGCAGCTGAAAACATAGCCGTTTCAGAGAAACGGCTATGTTTCACTGAGGGTTAATCCAGCCTCTGGTGGCTGTCTCATTTGCAGCTGCTAGAGGAGCTTCCGCGATTCTCACTGTGAAAATCACAGTGAGAAGACACTGAACGTCCATAGGAAAGCATTGAGTAATGCTTCCTTTGGGCGGTTTAAATGCGCGCGCGCGCGCCTCTTGCCGCGCATGTGCATTTCGGAGCTGAGTGGCGGACACTGGGGAGTCCGACGCTGGAGAAAGGTAAATGCTGAAGACACACACACTCTCACGAACAGATGCATACACACTAGCCAACAGACACACACATTTACTGACAGAGACACACTCAGCGACAGACATACATACACACACTTACAAAACATACACTTTCACTGACAAACACACACTCACTAACAGACACACACAGTAACACACTCACTAGCAGACACACACACACTCTAACATACACTAACACACACACACACTAACATACACTAACACACACACTAACATACACTAACACACACACTAACACACACACACTACACACACACACACACACACTCACACACACACACACACTCACACACACACTAACACACACACACTCACTAACACACACACTAACACACACACACTAACACACACACACTAACACACACTAACATACACTAACACACACATTTTTTTTTTCAAATTTAATCCCCCCAGCCTCCTTACCTTTTGGAGTGCTGGGGGGATTCCCTGGGGTCCAGTGGTGCTGCTGGGCTCCTGGTCACTGGGTGGGTGGGCTGCCTGGCCTGCCGGCAGGCCGGCGCGCGAGGGAGCACTTTCCCCTGTGTGCTCCCTCTTCAGCTCCCTCGCGTGCCGCGTAGGGATGCTGGCGCCGGAAGATGACGTCATCTTCCGGCTCCGTCATCAGTGCGGTGCGCGAGGGAGCTGAAGAGGGAGCACACAGGGGAAAGTGCTCCCTCGCGCGCCCGCCTGCCCGACCGGCCACCCGCCCGCTGGGGTCAGCCTCGGGGGGCCCTGAGGTGGCCGCCTCCTGGGCCCCCCAGGAGAAGAGGCTGGCCCTGTGGGTACATACCGGGTCGCAGGGGACCCTGGTATGTACGCCACTGCTCCTGCATATGTGGATTATTTATATTCGGACTTTCTAGGTATCGCTGCTTGGACTCTCTGATATATATTTGTATACATTCATTCTACTTGTCTTAGTCGCACCCTTATTTGTGTTTTTCTCTCCATTGTATTCCAAGGGGCTTAGAGGGGATTCCCCTTTTCCATAGGTGTGCTGCCTTGCTGTCATATTCTCTGTTTTCCTATCAGCGCTGAACCTCCTTCCTGATATTGATGGTCAATGGCCAGATACGCCAAAACACAGTCACGGTAGCTAACACATACCTCCCAAACAGACACTAATATAAAACACTTAAACACCTGAAAGCCATAGATCAATTCGCTGAGGGAATCCTAATCCTAGGAGGAGACTTCTACCTCTCCCCACACTCAGCTCTTGACACAACATCCCGTACTTCCACATACCAAACTCCCTCACGTAAACAAATGGCTCTTCTCCAAGACTGTTCGCAACTGTACAACTGCTGGCGAACTACCCACCCTAATGCAAAGGACTTTTCCGTCTTTTCACACGCCACCTATTCACTTATTCAAGACTTGACATGATTTTCCTCCCACACAGATTTTTTCACCTGATCCGATCCAGTCAATATGGCCAAATCACATGGTCAGACAATGCGCCATACACATACCGACACTCCCACAGCGATCATTCCAGTGGAAACTTAATGATCTCCTTTTAAATGACCCTAATATAGTATCCCAACTTCAGACATCGTTTCAGATCTATTTTAAAGAAAACACGACCCTGCCTTCCACTCCCCCAATCATGTGGGAAGCACATAAATATATAAATACACAAAAATGGTATACAGCTGTATATCTGCAAAAAACAAATTAACAACACATATATATGATATATTGTGGAGTAAAAATGTAAGAGAGATATTGATTGCACTCACAAGATGTCAGTGGAAAAAGCACCTTGAACATCTCCCCACAGGGAGATTTTGAACTTTAGACATAATTTGACAAGAAAATAATAAGAGTAGCAGAACTTGAGGGAAAAGGAAACAATACAGATGAAAGGAGATAATAGAAATTTAGGTTTAGGCAATATGCCCTAAGCAGGTTATCAGGATACAGGTTGTAAGAGACAAATAGAAGTAGAACCTATAAATGAAATTATAGGTGAGTATGAAGGAGAACCTATAAAACGAAATTATAGGTGAGTATGAAGGAGAACATATAAACAAAATTATAGGAGAGTATGAAGGAGAACATATAAATGAAAATTATAGGAGAGTATGAAGGAGAAGAGAAGGAAAACATATAATAGCAATTATAGGTTACATTACATTTATATACAACTAAACAACAATATAAAGGAATAAGTAATACTGATAAGTTTAAAGTATCAGTCTCTTTAGCTTGGAGGTTTATCAATAATAAATCAAAGTCCAGTATTGACTAAAGCTGGTAGGAATAGATGATCAGGATCTCCAGGTTGGTTAAGCAGTGTTCAGTAAGTGTGGCAAGTTGAAAAGGATGAATTAGGATGCTTCAGATAGTATCAGGATTTCAGAGTAGGAGCCAGGATAAGAAGTCTTGTCCACTTCAGGGCACAAACTTAAATCAATATAAAGTATAAAGGCCCCCATTGAAGTCAGGTGTGGCCTCTTATAGCGTGTTTGGATGATCATGTTATTCAGGTGAGAGTGTTTTTGGTCAGACTAGTGGCTAGTGAGGCCACTAGTGGGGGAAAACAGGAATTGCTGCTGGAACTAATTGACTGAAAGGTAAAAGTTTTGATTAGATATGACACTGACCTTGTTCTGTGAAGAAAGCAATATCAGGTCTAAATGCTTCTTCAAACAAACTGACAGGAACAGCTACATTCACAGAAAGCGCTGTCACCATCAGCCTCCATGCAGAGGGTGGAGACGCTGAACTGCAGTGCTACCTACTGTGCAGCACTTCCCCAGGAAGCACCTCCAGTGGCCATTTGAGGAGTGGCTACTGGAGGTGTCCCTAGGGGGCAATGTAAACACTGCCTTTTCCAAGGCGCACTAAGTCAAAACAGAGTTCTAGGTTGCATATCTGTACAGTCCTCTGACATATACTGGCACTCAAGTATACTGTATCGTGTTGGTGTTTGATTAAAGGGGTGCTTGTATATCATTTTAGTGTTTTAATACAGGGTGTTTGTATGTAATGTGTGTTTGATTGCAGAGGTTTGTTGTGATTTAATGTTGTTTTTTTATATGTTGATGTACATTTGTGTGTAGTATTTGTGTTTGAGTAAAGGGTGTGTTTGTATATAATTTTGGAGTTTGATTGCAGGGGTGTGTTTGTATGTAATATTTGTGTAATATTGCAGGAGTGTGTTTGCATGCTGTGCTGGTGTTTGATTGTTTGGATGTATCAAACACTACCACATACATACATACATACACAGATATTAATGCAATGTTTTGTGGACCCAGGACATACTTGAAGAAATCTCGATGTATCTTTCCTGGTAAAATATTTTATAAATAGAATAAATAAATAAATAATATACACACACACTAACACACAGATACACGCAGCCTGACCCACACAAATATTGACACATACACACACCATGACACACAGATACACACACACAATGTGTTCCCTATATAGGGTAAATAAGTATGAAGGGGTTTGAAACAATACCCATCTGTCTCATTAGATCTTTTTTTGCCTGAAGCTGAAGCAAGCAAGGTGCAAGGTGAAGCTGAAGCAAGCAAGCAAGCAAGGTGTAGGACCCGCCTCAGAGGTTTGTCTTGACGTGGCAGGTGGGCTTACATCTAGTGGCCATTGGAGTGGGTTGCAGGGGTGTGTTTGTATGTAATATTTGTGTTAGATTGAAGGAGTGTGTTTGCATGTTGTTCTGGTGTTTGATTACTTGGGAGTATCATACACTACCACATGCATACATACATACATACATACACAGATACACACAGCCTTATCCACACAAATATTGACACATGCACACACCATGACACACAGATACACACTCACAATGTGTTCCCTATATAGGGTAAATAAGTATGAAGGGGTTTAAAAAAATACCCCTCTGTCTCATTAGATTTCTTTTTTTGCCTGAAGCTGAAGCAAACAAGATGCATTGTTAGTGTAGGACCCACCTAAGAGATTTGCCTTGACTTGGCAGTTGGGCTTACATCTAATGGCCATTGGAGTGGAAGTGAAAACCTCAATTTATTCAAATAGCCCAGGGATTTGGAATAGTGCGTGAGTAATTTTTTTCTTTGTTTTTTTATTGTATGTCGGGTGCAGCGGTCCATTAAAAGCCTGACTTGGCCCCTGTAGGATTGGCAAGCTGGGAGGAAGTGAAAGCCTGTCACTTCCTCCCAGCTTTGTGCAGAGAGCGGCGCTTGCCAATACTACAGGGGCCAGGTCAGGCTCTTAAAGGGCTGCTGCACCCGACCGGTCCTTCTTCCACAATAAAGAAATAATACCCATCAGGTGGCACTAAGTGAATGGATCACCCAAATGGCCCCATGAGCATGTGGGCATGGCTGCACCGGATGTAGCACCTGGGAAACATTTTGATTCACTCCTGTATGCCAGTTGCTGCGCCATGCACAGTTTGGGAACTGCTGTCTTAACCCCTTAAGGACACAGATTGAGCAATAAAAGGCCAGCATGACTGAATGTCCATCAGGTGTCCTTAAGAGGTTAAAAACATTTGCACGGGTACTCTCCTCGCCACTATGTGGCCCCGCTGACCTCCTACCCCCCCCTCCCACTCTGGACCGGCATGGGTTATCCTGGTCCCCACTGGGCAGATATATACAGCCTTAGTAGATACTTTTTATTCATTTATACAAATAAAGGAAATTTTTTAACACCTTTTGAACCTGGCATCCTGATTTTACCATCTCAAAACGAGGACTAAAGAATCCTAGGTATGGAATATACCACCAGCGCTCTACTCATCGAGCAGTAAGCCTGCTCAAAGAAATGTGAGTACATCTCTTCTATTGTTAATTATTTTAAAGTTTTATTTCTACAGTGAGCACTTTATTTGCCATTTCTTTACTTTTGTTTTGTTTGAAGAAACCACCTACCACATATATCCCAGAAGTGGGGATCATTCCACGTCACTCTATACACACCAGAGCTGGATATAGCTCTGGTAAATGTGAGTAGAATATAAGCTATAAAATATTGATTATATATCTCACTATACACTATACCATTGGAGTCTTCTTTCTTATGTCCTACATGTACTTCTGGAATCACAAGAACTCAAAACTTTTGATTTTATCCAGTTTAGTTGTTCCCTTCAAGTCTTTTATACTTTCTTTTATACTATTATATTTGAATTTTATTTGGATATTTTATTCCTGTTATGAGCATAATTCTGGTATACTCTAATTTCTATTAGGTTCAACCTTGTTCTCCTTTTTTTTTCTTTTTTACTATATACAGCCTTAACCCTACCTATACCCAGACTCCAGCCGATACCACTGCAGGCATGTACAATCCAAGATGGTCGACCAACACCCTCCAGACACGACCAAGTTGGGCAAGACCTGCAGAGCACACCAGAGCACCATAGATACTTGTTTAATGCGGCTGGAGGAAACTTTCAGGCGCTTCTGGATTAGGCTCCGCAGGCACAATAAAGAAACATTTGTGCTGGAAGATTTTCTTATATTCCTCTTCTGATGATGCACTCAGCTGTATCTGTAAACTTGCGTCAGGTGCACAGATGGAAAAGGGGAAGATTGAATAGACTTATAGACTTTTGAAAGTACATCTGGAAGGTTATAAACATTTGAGAGATATAGTTGTATATATGCCCATTGCCTAGCCCATGTAAACATAAACAACTTGTGTTTTTATTGTGTGGTCTTGTTACTCTAATAAAACTTTTGTCTACCATACATATACTAATCATGTATTTTAGAAAAAAAATGTATAAAAAAAAAAAAAAAAAAGGAGGAATTCCATACTCTTATCAAGATCCCGCTGCTACCAGACCTAAGGTTGACTGCCCGTACCATAATAGTTGAACAAAATTATGGTCCAGGACCTCAAGGATCAATTAAACAGCAGATTTATTTGGAAAACGTTTCGATCTCTAAGAGATCTTTCTCAAGCTTCAGATTTTATTTTACTGGCAATGTGGATGCAAATGATTATTAGTGTAAGAGCTAGATTGTACCAATATTATAGGGCAATAGAACCAGCCTGTGCCAGGTTTGAGAAGTTAGAGGTCATGCCATCTTGGACAAATGATAAAAAGGGTGATAAAGCTTTATTGATTGAACTCCAAATTGGAATATAAGCAGGTAATGCTGACAATTAGGAATCAACTTTATGTAAATCTACCCAATAGAAAAAAATAAATCATAAAATTGCAATTTAAAAATATTTATTGAAATTTCAAAATGACATTTTATATAAAAATTACATTTTACAGCAAATATCAGAAATACTAACTATATAGTAAAATGTCTTGTAAGCCAGTAGAGTTGAACAGCAGTTCAAGGAGCAATTTTACTGGAATTGAAAACCCTGTCCAATCCTGTAAATTCTACTTCTGATGTTCAGTGTGGTGGTCTATTAAAAAACTATTTAATCATTAGTGTTTCACACTGCTTGTTTCACTGTGTAAACTTAAAGGGACACTCCAGGCACCCAGACCACTTTTGCCCATTGGAGTGCTCTGGGTGCCAACTCCCAGTACCCTTAACCCTGCAAGTGTAATTATTGCAGTTTTTATAAACTGCAATAATTACCTTGCAGGGTTAACTCCTCCACACTAGCATACCACTAGCTGTCAAACACTACTAGACAGCCACTAGAGGGCACTTCCTGGTTCATAGCACAGGTTTTCTGTGCTATAGCGTCGCTGATCGTCCACACACTATGTGAGGACCTCCAGTGTCACTAAAATCCCCATAGGAAAGCATTGAAAACAATGCTTTCCTATGGGGAGGTCTAATGCACATTAGGTCTCCCCCGCCGGCTGACGTCAGCAGGGGAGGAGTGTGGGCGGACCTTGGACCAGCACCGAAGGACATCCGTGCTGGACTTTGGTAAGTCACTGAAGGGGTTTTCACCCCTTCAGCAACCTGGGATGGGGGGTGGGAGGGAGAGGGGACCTGCAGTGCCAGGAAAACAGATTGTTTTCCTGGCACTGGAGTGTCCCTTTAAAGGATCACTATAGGGTCAGGAACACAAACATGTATTCCTGACCCTATCGTGTTAAAACCACCATCTAGCCCCCTTGAACTCCTCATGCCTCACTAAAAATAGCAAAATCTTACTTTTATTCAAGCCTGAAGCTGTAGCTCTGCATGCTGTTTGACTCAGAATAGTCAATAGTGAAAAACTGTCTGCTGACATCATCAGAAGTGGTGGCCTGATCCAATCACAATGCATCCCCATAGGATTGGCTGAGACTGTCAAAGAGGCAGATCAGGGGCAGAGCCAGCATGATTCAAACACAGCCCTGGCCAATCAGCATATCCTCATAGAGATGAATTGAATCAATGAATCTCTATGAGGAAAGTTCACTGTCTGCATGCAGAGGGAGGAGACACTGAATGTTTGGATGCATTTTAGGCAGCCATGACCCAAGAAGGATCTCTAACAGCCATCTAAGGAGTGGCCAGTGAAGTTATCACTAGGCTGTAATGTAAACACTGCATTTTCTCTGAAAAGACTGTTTACAGCAAAAAGCCTGAAGTTAATGATTCTACTCACAGAACAAATTCAATAAGCTGTAGTTGTTCTGGTGACTATAATGTTCCTTTAATAAATTGGTATATACATAAATGATTCATATTAGTAATATAAATTCACAGTACTGCAGGATAGTACACCAAGGATAAGCTGTGTATTACATCATACTGCTACGTCGACTCTAATTTAAACTTCTCAATGGAGATATAAATGGATACTCCAAGCATCATAACCACTACAGGCCACTGTAGGGGTAATGAAATGAGAAGTACACTGGTCCCATTTCTTGTTTCGGTTTGTACTATTACCTGGTCCTGCCGGGCTCCTAGTCTGCTTTAAGGCTGGCTGTGACTTCCAACTTTCTGCACTGCTTCCGATCCTGCCAGCCATTTATTTGGCTTAGAGTGTCAGCTGACATCTTTCAGTCACTGATTGCAATTTTGCGAGTAGGAATATGCACAGAATTGATAATTAACCAGTCCAGAACTCTAGTTCTGGGCTGGTTGATGACACTCCAATGACAGAATTCCAGCAGGGTTAATCTCAGCATGTGCAGCATTTCATAGCAAAACACTGAACATACAGACTTCAGACACCATAATTACTTCAAATCACTAACGTGGTCATGATTCTTGGAGTGACTCTTTAAGCATCTGCTGTGCTTTTTTTAACCAGAGTTTGCCATGCTTGTGGCATTATGTAAGTGTAACCCTGATAGCTACATTTCCCATCCATGAGACAATCTCAGCTTTTATTAATTAAACTGAGATAAAGCAACACTGTATAAAATTGTAATGTCTAATTATAGCTCAAACACACAGTGCTCAGCCCCATAGCATTATGTTAGATGTGGATGGTGTACAGCTGGTGAGTTATAGATTAGCCATTCCAGACAAAACAGGAGTTTTAGTGTTAGAGGAAACATTTCTTGTTATTCCATATAATTTAACAAGCAAGGATACAAATGAGCACTCAGATAATGGTGTGGATTGTATAAATGGGTCTCTGGAATTATAACAGAATTTTATTGTTTAGCTGAATTTTTGATCAGTAAGTAGGAGGCATTTCCATCTATTCCATTGATCCAGTCAGTGTGCTCTTTGGAAAATATTAGAGATACATGCTCTGAGCAGGAGGAGCAGACGACGCATCGGCCCCTGGGACACGGGGAAAGCTGCAAGACAAAAAAACTAAATGAAATCTTTAGTCTGCACATGCTCTGTAATCATTATCATATTATAGATATATTTGAAATCTGGCCCTAATTTCAACACTAAGGCACCATACCACACTAGCATACCACTAGCTGTCAATAATACGTCTTAGATGATTTAATTGTGGGGTTGCTGAATTTGCAAAGCTGTAACATGAACTATCAATAAACCTCCAAAAGTCTCCCTTTACTCTCTCCTTGTTCCAAGACACTTAGCCCAGCCTCCTGTTCAGTCTTTAGTTTAGGTCAATGAATATTACTATTGATCTTTTTTTTTTTCCCATCAGCTGCAATCCTGCCTCCTCTGTGCATCTTTCACTGACTGAAGAAAGCTTTCTAGAAAGCAGACACTTGCTGTCTAGTGAAGGTTCTCCTTGGTGTTAGTTCCTACAATATACTGCGAACCTAACCATCTCACCCACACAGCACAGCTAAACTTTTTTAACAAACTTCTTACCCCTTATATTAATGAAACACTATAGGGTCAGGAATACAAATATGTATTCCTGAGTGACTGCCATTCTCTGAAAAGGCAGTGTAAACATGAAAATGACTGCAAGGACATGGAGCAGACACCAGAACAACTACATTAGGCTGTACTTGTTCTGGCGACTATAGTGTCCCTTTCATTCACTGATCATAATATTAACAAAATAGTATAGCAATTCCAAGTATATTTACATACATCACACTTGGCTGGTTTTCAACGAATGACTGAAGGTTGCATCCCTGCCACACGCAATAAAATCTAACCTGGATCCAAGCGCACCAAGATGACATAGAGCAGGAGGAGCGCAAGTACAGTCCGTCTGAAAGGGACTTTGCAAATCTGTGTTGCCACCAAACTCAAGGATCCATACAGTATCCGAGCCATGTTTAATATTCCTACCCTTGAGTTACCTGTAAGATTAGATATATCCATGAGATAGCAGAACATAACACATACATTCAATATTGGACCATACCATGCATCAAAAGATAGAAGAATATAAGATAGTCTTTTTAAATCGACGCTATAGTTACCAGAACCACTACAGCTTAAAGGACCACTCTAGGCACCCAGACCACTTCAGCTTAATGAAGTGGTCTGGGTGCCAGGTCCAGCTAGGATTAACCCTTTTTTTTATAAACATAGCAGTTTCAGAGAAACTGCTATGTTTATACTGAGGGTTAATCCAGCCACTAGAGGCGCTTGCGTGCTTCTCACTGTGAAAATCACAGTGAGAGCACGCCAGCGTCCATAGGAAAGCATTGTAAATGCTTTCCTATGCGACCGGTTGAATGCGCGCGCGGCTCCTGCCGCACATGCGCATTCAGCCGATGACGTCGCAAGCAAGGAGGAGAGGAGGAGTAGAGCTCCCCGCCCGGCGCTGGAGAAAGGTAAGTGTTTAACCCATTCCTCTCTCCAGAGCCCGGCGGGAGGGGGTCCCTGAGGGTGGGGGCACCCTCAGGGCACTATAGTGCCAGGAAAATGAGTATGTTTTCCTGGCACTATAGTGGTCCTTTAATGTTGTGGTTCTGGGACATATAGCCTGTCAATGAAGGATCAACAGTGTAAACACTGCCTTTACTTAGAAAAGGCAGGGTTTACAATACTGCCTAAGTCCACTTCTAGTGGCTGTCACTGTGGTAGGGAGGCAGAACGGACAAACGGACACAGGCACTCACCAACAAGTGTGAATAATCTCACAATTGTAATGGGCATTATATTGTTTACATAAATGTGTTTGTTTATTCCATGTAGAACTAGAATATCTTGCGGGACTTGCCGTTCCTGCCTGAAAACATCAGGAAAAAGTAGAGTTATGATGTACCATATGATCTTAAAGGGTACACATCATGACAAATACAACAATCAAAGAAACTAATTTCATTTGCACAGAGATAAGATAAGAGCCATGTCTGTTATCAAGGAATCCCTGATCTGGTGTCTTTCCTGCTTGAATGCAGCCTAAGGAAAAGTAATACATGTAAGGGAAAGCATGGAGAAGGGATAGCAGCACCAGCAACAGAATGGAGAGAGGAGAGAAACAGCCAGAAAGATTTATTGTAGCAGTTTTGAACAGGCAATCTGGGATAGGAAACAGAGATAAGTTTTTATTTACAGAAAGCCAAACATAAGTGTTGGGGAATTTTAATCTGTTATAGGAAGCAATTCTGTGCTCATCAAACAAGGCTATGCAGTAGAGCTGTGTCTTACAGTAAGTGTACTGTTAAAACCCCCTCAGCCACTTACCTTTCTCCAACGCCGGCTTTGGGGAACTCTCCATCCCTTGCCGACGTCAGATCCGAATTCACATGCACGGCAGTGCTTTCCTACAGACGTCCAGGGTCTTCTCACAGTGAGACGTCCAGGGTCTTCTCGCGGAAGCGGCCTTTAGTGGCTGTCAGTGAGGCTGTCAGTGAGGCTGGATTAACCCTGCAGTGTAAGCATAGCAGTTTCTCTGCTTCTCTGAAACTGCTATGTTTTCAGCTGCAGGGTTAACACTAGAGGGACCTGGCACCCAGACCACTTCATTGAGCTGAATTGGTCTGGGTGCCTATAGTGGTCCTTTAAGGCTGCCAGAAAACCATAGTGACATGGACTTCCTCAGTGCAAAGGAGACCCTCTGACATTGGAAAAAGTCGAATTAAGGTAGTTTGCAAAATATAGTGAATAGTTATTATATGACATCAATATAATTGGTCACTGAGCTAATTTTCCAATTAAAGATTGCCTCACAAAACGAATGTGATTTATATTATTTAGGTTCCTGACAAAACACGATTAATAACTACTTTTCTAGTATTTATAGCTAATAAAGATATAAGTATTTGTAGATCACAAAATGTAATAATGAATTAAATAATATGAGCTTTTGCTAATATCATACCAAACACTTGTGACTGAGAATTGCATATAAATACCTTTGTCCCTCTTGGCCTGTGACACAGTTTGATCACATTGATTAGTTTCAGATTTTGCAGGATCATTTTTCTCTTCCCACTGACGCTTCTGTTCACTTATGGTTTTAAGAACTATTAGCTGCTGCTGTTGAGTTAACATTTTTGAGTCCTTAGCCAAACACTCTGCTTCTGAGAACAGACCCAAAGGAAGGAGAACACGCAAGAGGTGGAGTTCAGCTACTCGTCTGTACCCTGATAGGTGATGATTGGCTCTCTCATTCAACCAGCTACTGCTCAGCTCCAGCATTACATGTGGCTGCTTGACCTTGCTGTACAGCAGGAGGCTGAACAAGGAATCAGACAAATGGTAATACACACCTTATAAAGTCATCTCTAAGAGTCAATAATTGTCAATCATAGATGTTATGAAAAGTTAGAATGGAAAACAACAAAGTTAAATCATAAATATACACACACACTTATGGGAGTTAAATGAATCAGACATTCACCAGCTGCACCTTGATAAAATCAGAGGAGCAGTTACCAACTGCAGGGGGCTCTGCTTTTCCTGAAAAAAAAAAAAAGAGAGAGAGAGAGAGAGACAGAGCGAGAGAGTGAGAGAAAAAAGAAAGAAAGAAAGAAAGAGAGAAAGAGAGAAAGAAAAAGAGAGAGAGAAAGAAAAAGAGAGAGAGAGAAAGAAAGAGAGAGAGAAAGAAAAAGAGAGAGAAAGAAAAAGAGAGAGAAAGAAAAAGAGAGAGAGAAAGAAAAAGAGAGAGAGAAAGAAAAAGAGAGAGAGAAAGAAAAAGAGAGAGCGAGAGAGAGCGAGAGTGAGAGCGAGCACGTGTGTGTGTGGGGGTTTTTTTTTTTGCATTTGGCAGCTGCTAAATTTGCATCTTTGGATCTCTTACTGTTTTAGAATAAAATCAACAAACTTGTTTTTTTAAGAATGTGATTTAAATAAAACCCAACAATGAATCATATATTAAGCAAAAATAATGCTATCCAAGGGTTCTGGAGATGTTAACAAACCACTCTATGGCAATATTTTCCCTTAATAAACATTTCACCCTTACTCAATCAGATCAGGGAGCACTTATCGGTCCATCTTATAGTTTAATAATGCAAACATTTTATTAAATGTTTTTCACATAGGTGTAAAACCCAAAGGTCACTCTTAATAACTTTCAGTGAGCACACAGAGACAGCAAATGTGACTTTAAAGGCATCTGTGACTACAGCTTCCCATTCATAGGGCTGACCAGTCTGCAAGCACACCAACAGTCACGTTTTTGTCAGTTTTATCCATTGGAACAGAATTTGGAAAAGTCTGAACTAGGACTGCTAGTGTGCCCTGAGATTTGCATTAGGAACCACTGTCCTAAAGTGCATCCTCCCTCCCCCATTACTCTACAAATCGTAAAATGGGGAGGAGGGGGGATTCAAATAAATGTGTTTGTTGATAATTTTGACATTATGAATACAGGCTGTGATCGGCCTAGATGAGCTAGTCTTTGCTTCTCACGCATATCAATGAACCATTGACGTCCATGACCCTGACGCCAGTTCACTGGTGTCTTTCTTTCACCCATGCATACCGTGAACACCTCACAAAACTTGCAGTTTTACAGATGCTCTGACCCAGTCGTCTAGACATCACTATTTGGCCCTTGCCAAAGTCACTCTTATCTTTTCGCTTTCCCATTTTTGCCTGCTTCCAGCACATGAAATTCAAGAACGGACTGTTCACTTTATGTCTAAAATAGCCCACCTATTTATAGGTGCCATTGTAATGATACAATCAATGTTATTCACTTCACCTATCAGTGCTTTTAATGTTGTGGCTGTTCAGTGTATAGTGTATACTATATACATAACTATATAAACATATAAAATGTGTTCATACCTAAAGATGAACACATCTACATGTTTGTTTTTTTTTTTTAATGACAGGTTACTTTTAAAGGAGTACTCTCTCTAATTTTAAGTTAAATCTGATTCTCTAAAATGAATCAGTAATCACATGATTCTAACCTTGGTATAGTAAATGTCAAATATGAAAGTACTGCTTACCACATCTCCATTATATTGTGTGGCATCTCCTGGGGTGTTCGGTAATATTGGACAAGCCAGGGCAAAACTTCCCTCCATCGTTCCATCTCTGCTAGAGCCTGAATACCAACCACACAGAGATGAGCTTTCAACTGTTCATACCTGAAATATGACAAATTCAAAGTAGTCCCATCTATTAAACATTTTAGGATATTTATATTTTTGATAAAGGATTGGCACACATTCTATGGATAGCAAGGTTAAATACCTATTGTCTTTGCTAATTCTTTGAACCGATTTTAAAACAAGTTAAAAAAACAAAACAAGTAGCCAATCAGAAAGAACAGGCACTATGCAGGCTGGGAAACCAAAAATAAGCAATCAGCATGTTAAAGGACCACTATAGTGGCAGGAAAACAAACTCGTTTTCCTGGCACTGTAGGGGCTTTAGGTCCCCCCCACCCTCAGGGTCCCACTCCTGCTGGGCTGAAGGGGTTAAACACTTACCTTTCTCAAGCGCCGGGCTCCTTCGGTGCTGGAGAAATCTCCTCCCTCTGCCGACATCAGCTCCGAATGCGCATGCGTGGCAAGCGCAAACAGTCCATAGAAAAAGCATTTCTCAATGCTTTCCTATGGACATCCAGCGTCTTCTCACTGTGATTTTCACAGTGAGAAGCGCAGAAGCGCCTCTAGCGGCTGTCAGTGAGACAGCCCCTAGAGGCTGGATTAACCCTTCTCTGAAACTGCTATGTTTACAGCTGCAAGGTTAACACTAGATGGACCTGGCACCCAGACCACTTCATTGAGCTGAAGTGATGTGGGTGCCTATAGTGGTCCTTTAAGTGCAAATCCTTTACTGAAAGTAACTATAAGATTTAAGTATTAACACAATAAAAAAAAAAAAAATTAAAATTTTTTTTTAAAAATCAAGATCCATGGAGTTGGCATGTTCGCTTCAGGCGACAATTGCTTTAAGTGACAGGGCTCCTTTAAGTAGAACTCAATATTTGTCCTTTACCACGGCCTTACAAAACTGAATAATGGATTTAAAAAACAAAACAACATACAAACGGTTTTTGGTCTGCTGTTGTACAGAACATTTTAACTGCATGTTAGCTTAAAACTTTACCCCCAATTCTTTGAAATCTATGCAAGTATGCAAAATAAATTAATGTCAAGACATACATCCTAATATGCTCCATATATTCAAATACATTTTAAGTCAATCATTAGATCTCTCGCTATATCGCATCAGGTACAACACAGTATAGTTGCCTAGAAATTACCGCTTTTATAAACGTCCATTAAGATTAGATGCTCCTGACACAGACAGGTCAGGTGAGAATAATCCTGGCTCTTTCACTCTCTCAATAAAACACCAACAAAATTTTTTCTAAAACTCACCTTGCTAAAGTTAATTTCTCCCTGATCCTACTCTGCTGATGTCACTCCCCTTCGCTGGAGGGGGACAGATGTCACAGATGGTGGGCTGAAGGGAGAAGATGGGCAGCATAGCGGGAGTGGGTATGTTACATTTGGTAATTTGTTGTGAACATGCTGTCCTCGCAAATGACAAACATCAAATATGCACAGAACTGACATTAGTCGTCCCTAACTCTTCTTCCAAGCTGACTAATTGCGCTTCCATTGGTGGACTTACACCTCCATATAATTAACATATGGTTAAACTCTGTATGTGCAGGATTTTAAAGCATTACAGTGCACATACCGACTCCAGATACCATCAAGGCGGAACAAGCCTAAGACAGCCCAGATGGCCACCAACTATGACAGCAGGTGCGTACTCTGCCAAAATGTACAGGGTCTGGGAGAGATGGGTGAAAAGGGACCTCTGGTCTACATATGTTGTGCCTGCGCCCCTCCCTCACGCTCCCTATAGTGATGCCGGGATGTGAAGTTTCTCCAGCCCAGGAATCATTAACTTGCATGGCCCAAAGGCCACCCCATTTAAGTTGCAATAGTGAGGAAATCAAACTTTCTCATTATCCATATTTGTGTATGGTATGCACTTGAAAAGGGTTTGACAAAAAAATATAGAAACTGTGCAAGTAACATTCTAGCACCAAACAATCTCAAAGCAGATGCATACAGGATTTTTTTTTGTTTTAGACAGTTGACAGAAACGTTTGGGTACTCACTTATCTTTGGGCTCCACTGTTAGTATTTGCAAACCTCGCTCACATAGTTCCAGAGCACCAGAAAAATTCCTCTCAAGCACAAGGAGGTCTGCAGCTGCATCTAGCAAAGACACAGCAGGAGGGGTTCCAGAAGGGGACCAATGTGACCAATCCCACATGGCACTTAGGGAACAGCTTGATACGTTCTCGGTCACCGCCATATATAGGTGATTGATGCCAAAAAAATCAGCAGAACCAAACTCTGTGCACCTGAAAATAAAAGTAAATGAAATGTTACAATTCAAATAATTTCTACATGATTCTGCACTACCATGCTGCCCTAAATGTGTGGATAAAGCTTAATTTCATACTTCTATATAATCCATGTCAGCCGGCCTTCGGGATGGTTAAATATGCATTATTTCGTGCAGAACGACTAAAGTTACAATCTACATTATTGACAGGTTAGAGATTACAGTTAGAGATCTGCACTGCTGATGCTATGGATTATAACTCCCATCATTACATTGATGGGCCTTATAATATCCGAACTCTGGACGCTGTAACACTCTCGCTAACCCTAAAGCTCACTGGGACCCCATTTTAGGGGGCACGGGAGTGCCCAATAGCTTGGGTAATCAATCTCTAATGTTAAAGGACCACTATAGTGCCAGGAAAAATAACTAGTTTTCCTGGCACTATGTAGTCCTTAGGTCCCCCCACCCTCATGGCCCCCCTTCCGCTGGGCAGAAGGGGTTATAACCCCTTCAGCCACTTACCTTTATCCAGTGCCGAGCTCCCTCGGCGCTGGTGACCTGTCCTCCCCCTCCGACGTTGACTCCCGAGTGGAGCCGCATGCATCAAAAAACACCCATAGGAAAGTATTACTCAATGCTTTCCTATGGACGTCAGCGTCTTCTCACTGTGATTTTCACAGTGAGAATCGTGGAAGCGGCCTCTAGTGGCTGTCAGTGAGACAGCCACTAGAGGCTGGATTAACCCTCAGTGAAACATAGCCGTTTCTCTGAAACGTCTATGTTTTCAGCTGCAGGGTTAAAACTAGAGGGACCTGGCACCCAGACCACTTCATTGAGCTGAAGTGGTCTGGGTGCCTATAGTGGTCCTTTAAGCCTGACACTAGCAACCATAAAGTGTCACAGAAAACTATAATACTGTTCACACATATCAACCCCAACTAATGTAAAATATCTCTTCTTTAAGCGAACAGGGACAAAGTACCACTTACTAAGCATGTTGTATAAACGAGCTTCATTGACCAGGCCATTTTTACCTCTTGTATTTGTGTATATTGTACTTCTCCCCTAATTGTACAGCGCTGCGTGATATGCTGGCGCTTTATCAATATCAATCAGTAATAATAATAATAATATAAAATATATCCTGCTGCAATTTGGTAATTAAATCACATGTAAAGGTTGTTCTTTCCCCTAATTATACCTGCTTTTATTTCCTATGACAGAGAATGGTTTGACTTCTGATTACGTTTTATTGATTTGAAGAATTATTACATACATCATATGCTGCTGCTTGTTGTACTTTTCTCTTCAACATTACTTTAAACACCCTTACATGAGAGCTGCCTAATCATTTACAATCATTTTGATGTGTTACCTTGCTCGGGAAGGTGTGATCAAGGTAAACGGACGATCAAGCGTTTACAAGCGTAGTTCGCGCATGCCCACATCCAAGATGGCCACCGAAGCACCTTAGCTACACAGGCGTTAGTCCTGGATTTCTTTGGTCACATGATATGATCACATGACAGAAACAGGAAGCGAGTGCACATTCGGTTCGATGCGGTCCAGCTGGGGGTGCAGTGCAGTGGCCGGGCTCTTGGGGGCACTGTCAGCATGTTTGGCCAAACTTGCCCTAGGGGCAGATTATCTGCGGGATATATGTGAATCTGCAGCAGGGGGGGCAGGAGGAATCTGTGACTGGGTATGTTACTGTTAATGGGACTCTGATGATTTTGCTGCTGTGACCTGATGGAGTGGTTACTGTATAGGTATTGTGTATTTTGATGTGATCATACAGTCTTTGCCTGTTTGTTTTAAGTGAATGATTTACCTTGTGCAGTGGTCAGTAAGGTCAGAATAAAAATAAAATACACACACTATTGATTTATATAAATCAAGAGTTAATCTCTTGTGCGCTGCCTCCCTTCTTTCTATCTCGTGTGAATGACAACCTAGGCAATGGTTCAGAATCTGTCTTATGTGGAAAGATCCCCTGGTGGCATGGATAGTAATAAAGCGTTTTGAGTGGTCTAAAAATCTATAAAGGCACCATGTCTGGTGATAGTTGGCATAGAGGGTATTAACATTATTGTAAACATTTACTGACTGTTTCAAATTTATAGACTTCTGAGTGCATTATCAAAATAAAGCATTTAAACACTGAAACTAGAAATCTTCTCGGATCCTACCTGTCTGCCCTCTGTTTTCCAGTTTTGGGCATTGGCTGACTGTTCCAATGCCTCCCTGGGCAGGTCCATCATGTACACTATGAGACTTACCCGCTTGTGGTTATGGCTATCCTGGTTCATATAGCCCCTAGTAATTTAATTTGGTTTAGCAATGTCTCGCATATACCTGCCTCCTATGTTTTCTGGGCATACAATTTTTTAAGGGGTTTGTTACTCAATGGTTTGTTCACACACATAGCTGAGTGCAGCCACACTCTACTAATTCAATTATTATGATTATTATTTATATAGTACCAGCAAATAACACAGCGCTGTACAATGGGTGGACTAACAGACACTTAATTGTAACCAGACAAATGGACGCACAGGAACAGAGGGGTTGAGGGCCCTGCTCAATGAGCTTACATGCTAGAGGGAGTGGGTTATAGTGACACAAAGGGTATAAGTAGGGGGTGCTACCTCAGCATAAGGCTTGCTAGCTGTGAGTTCAGGGATAAATCTTTAAATTTGTTTGCTGGAGCTCAGACTGTTCCTGCTGACATGATAACTCCTGGTAGCTTAGACATGCCTGACAGCTTGCATTAGACACCTACTAAGCTTGCCTACACCAAAAGATAGCCATGCATGACATTATCCTGTACCTAGCCCGAGCTCCACTGTATTTTTCTCATACAAAACAAGCTTAATTCACATGCCTCCTTAATCAGACATGTATGTTTAGTATGTTCTTCTCCCTGTTAAGCCTGATTCTAATATAATATAAAATTGTGCACGTTTGCTCTAACATCCCACTTGTAAAGCATGATATGACGCTTGAGGGTTGCCGTCGGGGTACCTCAGGCTTGTATGTACCAATCTTATGCACAGCAAAAATATAGCTTTTTTTTTTTTAATTAAAAAAAACTAGACATTTACAGCGACACTGTTTCTTCTAGAATTTGTGTACAACCAAATATCTAACAAAAAATTAGCTGTTACAATCTTGTTCCAACAGCTACTCGCCCTATAAGCACAAAATGTTTGACGATGTCTCCTGTGATACTGCTTGTTAATTTCATTGTATTGCGCACAATGTATTACTTGACATGTTGGTACAAGATGAAAAATAAAGAATGCCAACAACAACAAAAAAGTTGGCTATTAGTTGTCCTAAACTTAAAAAAAAATAGACTACCAGTGTTTTTTACTAGACCGAGAGTTGAAAATTGCAAAACTGGAAAAATTCTCTAAGCCAGCTATGCTTCCTGTTTGACTACTTTGGCCTTAAATTCAAAGTGCAACACAGGCTCATTTAGAGTGACAAATACGCTGACTTGAGTTACGCCAACCAAAAAACTGTTTGGATTTTTTTTTTGTAAACCTTTTTGTGGTGGTTCTCCCGCCAACCAGGCTTCTGGAATAAAAGGGAATCATGACATGTCACACATGTCATGTGTCCTTAAGGGGTTAAACTTATCTTTCTTCCATTGCCAAGTCCAAGTTCTTTCCTCAGCCCGATCCTTCTTGGCTAACATAACTTCCCCTTGGTGGAGGGCCCAAAGAGGCCATTAGTAATGTGGCACCAGCATGCTGTGCGTGCTGGCGTCAGACACAAATTTTGCGCAGAATTGATATTGGCCTGCTCTTGTGGCTAATGACTCCAAATGACACAGCCGGAGGAGTTAATCTCCATATCTACAGCGTTTCAAAGTGAAACTCTTCCCATATAGACACCAAGCACCATAATCACTTCAAGGTGCTTATGTGGTATAACTTTTAGATCTCAAGCAGACTCCACAAATATGGAACCTCTCATTCAGATCTGTGGGATCTGATATTTATTTTTCCATGTATAAAATGAAAGATATTGATAACAGTGTAACTATGTTGCAAGACTATTGAATTAATTGTATATTCCTTGTGTTGCAGGTCCACCTGCTACTTCGTGTTAGCTGCATCTGTCTAGTATTTGCTTGCAATGGCATGATGTGGACATTCTTTGCCAAAGGATTGAGACTCTCCTCCTCTTCAGCTACTGCAACTGTAACAACAACTGCCTCAAACTTTGTGACTTCTGTAAGTAGCTCACTTTTAGTTTGGTCTTTAAAGGGACTCTGTCAAGCTTAACCTGCAAGTCCTGTGCGCATGAATTAGATATTACGATAGCAAAGCATTCTGGGGCAATTTTTAGGTGGATGCTAGGTAAAAAGCATGTATGGCCATTGTCTGTCAGCAGAAATAGAACTAGATATGACATAAATACTCTAATAGAAAAATTGTATATATGTTGATTAAAATCATCTGAGCACCTATGTATAAAACACACTATAGGCAACTACATCATTAGCATCACAAAAGTAATATTTTTTAAAAATAATGATTCAATGCTTAAAAGTGTTACAGCTTAACTACCCTTGCTTTGTGTCAACATTTCCTTTTTTGACATCTCAGATTAAAAGCACATGGTAATGATAATGAGCACTAGTTGTTTTTGACTACTGTGCCTTTAAAGGGATACTATAAGTGCCAGGAATACTATCACTATCCCTTTATTTACTTACCTGATCCCAGCGCTGATATCAATCGACACTGGGTCAAAGCTGCTCGCGTATTAGACCTCCCCATAGGAAACCATTGAATTAATGCTCTTCTATGGGGAAAATCTGACACTGGAGGTCCTCATGCAGATCTGGAAGACAGCCACTTGAGGCTGACTTACTGCTACAATGTAAACATTGCAGTTTTTCTGGGACTTCAATGTTTAACATTGCAGCACTAAGGGCAATAGGGACACATTGGTCTGTGTGCCTACAGTATCCCTTTAATTATCTAATACAGTAGACAGTGAACTCATATCACAACATACATATGATGTGCTGAATAACTTATTTTGTAAACTATTCCCATATTTTAAAAAATGCCTCAAACACATTAACCACTTTGGTCGGCCCAGTCCCTTCTGGTGTGCCTGTGTCGGTTCATTTTCACTGAAAAGGTCATTGTGTGGGTTTCAGTGATTCATAATATGTTAGTGAATCTTTTCTTCTATAGTAAGTCAGTCTGTCATCAGTCTCAGATGACCAGGGCTTGACCAGGTTAACAAGATTTTGTTAAAACACCACCATTGTTGGGGACGTGGTTTGGCTAAACACCAAGATGGCCTTTTGATCCACTCCATGAAAGAAGATCCCCAAGCAGATCTGAAGTCTGGGCTTGAGGGTCTGGCTGCATAAATCGAGAGCCTGGTAATGGACTATATCTTCTATACCGCTCCAATGACATGTTCTCCAGACTTGACTAGATTTTTTTGTACGCAAGACTTAATGTTTAAGATGGACCACACTTACATCCGTGCCATCAAATGGTCCGACTACCTGATGATGGAGATGTCAGGTTTGGCCTACTGTTTTAGAAACAGTACCTGGAGACTAATGACTCCCTCCTCTGCACTGACCGTCTTTTCTGATTACGCTCCTACTTGTCAACCAATTAGATGATGATGTGGGGTGCCCTTAAAGCAGTATTGCTGGGTCACCTCATTGCTATTGTGACTAGGAAAAAGTCAGCACAACCAATTTAGAGCATGACCTGACTGCAAGATTGCGTTCCTTGGAAAGGACTCCCAAACAAATTATACTGTGGAATTGCTCTATGTGGTTGACATGAGGGATCAACTGAACCTTTTGCTGTCTCTGCGGGTCCTTCAGGCAGCACAATGGACCAACCAAAAATGTTTCCACTTTATATGAGGACTTTGATAAGGCCTCTGTGGGTGGGCCATGCCTGGCCCTGGCCTACCTGCTTATTGGGACTCCGACAACATCATATGCAGTGTGCTGTGCCTTTAATCTCTGATGAGGACCTAAAAGCACTTAACCAGTAGATCCTCCTGGAGGAGGCCCCAGGGCTTGATGACTTCTCTGTTTTACACTATTAGAAGTTCAAAGAGATATTTCTACTATATCTCACCTCCCTATACAACAGTTTCCTCCAGGGTCAGTAAAATAACTTTTAAAGTGATGTTAGAAACACTTATACTTGTGCTCTCTAAAGAAGAAAAAGATTATGTGCTGTGTCAAAACTACTGCCCCATATGCCTTATTCTTATACATATCAAGATGTTAGGACGGTGTATATGGTCCATTCAGTCATGGCCTCAGGCTCACCCACTTTTTGCTTTCTCTGGATGCTGTGAAGACTTTTGAGATCTGGAAGACAGCCACTAGATGCTGACAGACCACAATAATTGCTCTTTCCAGTCCCTGCATTCAGTAAATCAGAATATCACGATTCTAGATTGTGTAATATTGTGCAATCATTTGAGAACACAATTTGTGAACACTAAATTACCTGACTTTCCTTATCTCTCTTGTGATAGACTGTAACACTTGGGCTCACACACAATGGAGTTTGCTTGGTTAACTTAAACAATGTAATTCAAAGTAATAGTAACATACAATTATATGCTCACTAGTTACAATTCAACTTTCTGAATATGTTGGCTATAAAAGTGTAGCTTGGCAGCAAAGTAAAGGTTTAGGTTTGATGAGTAGGAAACAAAGATTAGACAAGAGAATTGAATGTCACAAGGGGCAGACTAGCTAAGGAGTGCAGGATTAGCAAAGAGCTGTGGAGTCCATAAAGGGCTTTGGTAAGAGTCTTAGAACAATGGAAACATAAATTAGGTAATGGTGACATTTACTGTGAGTTGAGTGCTTGAGACAAAGTCCGTATGGCTGAGAATTGAGGATTATCCAAGAACGTGGTCGTGACTTATAAACTGAGGTCTATTACTGGTATTGCAGGAGGACACAAGGATGATACCGGAGAATAGTCAGATAGTGGGAGCTTGGGTAAGAAGCCAGTGAAGGAGAGATACAAGGTTGGTCCGTATGCATAGTCAGGAACAAGAGCCATGGTCTGAAGCCACGATGAAAATGAGTGACCAGACAGGTTACTTTTGGTCCCACATGATCTGTGTGACACACGGCACGGCAGGCCAGGGGACTCAATAATCAATTAATGAGCAATATTTAAATAGGCAGTCGTCATTGCAACAACCTGAGACAATAAAAGCGACGCTCCAGACCCCTAAAGCACATCAGCTTGCTGAAGTGCTTTAGGTGTGAAGAGTGTTTCCACTTTCTTTTCTTTAAAAAAAAAAAAAGTGTACATTTAAATATAAATTGATCAACCTTGTCACACGACCCTGGCTATTAATCAGACAACTGGTCCTTTTACTCAATAGAGCTAAACTCAAGAGGCAGGCAATTGCTCAGAGCACCTGCTTTGCAGAGACTAATCACTGAGCTGCATTGGAATGTTTGTGATTTGACAGCCACAAAAAGTCTGGATGGGGTTAGAACAGGAGGGCTTGCAGAGGCTTCAGACAAAAAGTCTACAGCTTTTTAAAGCTGTTTTTAGATATAACTACAATAATTAAATACATACATATTTACATTTGGGATATATCTATTAAAAAGTAATTTATATATTTGAGCACTGGATGTCCCTCTAAGCATTTAATAATTACATCACGGATCCAGAACTATGAGGCTAAGTTAACCCTTACTTGTGGGACATTCTGACACCGTGCAGCTTAGGAATCCTAATGGCTATTTAGGCCCAAATACTCTCATTTAAAAAAAAACAAACTACTTTTTTTTAAATCTTCAATTCTGCTATTTTGGCCTAAAGAAAAAATGTGTAATTTTTCACAACTTCCAGCTTATTGAAAATAAGTCCGCTTGAGTTAGATAACATGTAGACCAACTAGCAATAGCTAAAGGTATTGTTGCTTAATTATTTTTATTTTATTTTTTAGCTATTTTCCAGATATGATACTTTATTTTTGTTTGGTTTTACTGGTTATGTTCTTTTGCTTATATGTAGGCTTTTCTGGGAAAGGTGCTGTTTGGAGAATCTCGCGCACTGCTCTGGTGGGTGGGAATTTCAATCACACTCTGCGGACTCCTGTTGCTTCATAAGGAATCCCCTCCCTTGGAAGGAACAAGAGAATCTAAAAAGGAGAACTAAAGAACTCTGACAAGGAAAACATGCAAGCATGTGAATATATTTAATAAAAAGATGTTAAATAAACTTTTATACTAAATAACTTTTATAAAACTGTTAGTGCGTTTAATTTAACTGATCTAAATGTGTAAGAAATCTTACAGTGTCCAAAAAGAAAATCAAATGTGTTTAAGGTTTGTAAGTTACAATGGAATAAAAATGTGGGATAACTGCTCCTAGGTGTGTTAAAATATACTTATTAACTCCTTTGTGCAATGTAAGAGGAACAAGTATAAACATGCAATAAGTGAAAAATATACAGAGCAGCTGTATGTAAATGGTGTTAGTATTGGAGACGGGAAGCATATACAAGAGACTAATGTAGAAAACGTAACACATGATAAAATATAGATACGGTATATGTAAAGTTTAAAACTTTTAAAAGATAATGGTTATATATATTTAAAAAAAATTTATACAATTAAATATCATTACATTATAAGAAATTAATGGATAAAGAAAATATAGATGAAAATGTATTCATACTTACCGTAATTTTCTTTTTCTGGCTATTATTCATGGCAGCATATACATATGGGTTAGCTCCTCCCCTTACAGCCGATAGGACAGGAATGAAACAAAAGCCTTTAAAAGGAGTATCCCTGCATAGGTCTCTCATTCAGTATCAAGTTCCTACAGAAGAAGTAAAACCAACACTGGGTAGGTGCTATGAATAATAGTCAGGAAAAGAAAATTACGATAAATATGATTACATTTTCCTCTTTCCTGGCTAATCATGGCAACAAATACATATGGGAATACCCAAGCTTACCAGGGAGGGACAGAAACTTGCATAACTGGCAGTCAAATAATCAGAACAATTCAACATAGATTAGAAGATTGAGCTGTGTTAAGGACGTGACGTCAAAATTGTGCATCATTGATTGCTTCAACATCCAGTACGTACTGCTGGACAAATTAGTTCAAAGAAGTCCAAATGCCAACTTTACACAGTTTCAGCAGAGACCATTGCCATGGAAGCCCACAATGCTGCAACTGCACGAGTGGCTATTGCCCCGAAATCCTTTGGTACAGGTAGAGAATGGCATTGGTAAGCATTCATCTTAGGCAGGATCTCTGGTGCTAAATGGAAAACAACCATATCCTGTTGAAAATTAGTGAATGGAGGTACACAGACTCAAGCCTGGAGTTCACACATTCACCTTGCTGAGGTACCAGCCACCAGCAACAGCACTTTCTGTGCTGACACAATGGAAGCTCCTACTAGAGATTCGAATGTGTCTTGTATCTTCTGTCGGCGTGGCTGCACATAAACTAGACAGAAAGGTTTAAAACTTACCTCGGTCGCGGCAGGCAGCTGCTCGGTCTTTCTTAGTTTCGGTCCCCAGCTGGTGCGATGTTCTCATACTGCTTGCATGAAGCAAAGCACCAGGGGTTCCAATGCTCAATGGGTACCCATCCATGTGGAAAGTGACGATCTGTGCTCCTCGAGAGTGTTATAACTCAGACCATATCAAGGCCAGATTGAGGAGTAATTCCAACATCTATTATTGAGACTAACAGACAAATGCATGCCAAGTTTGTAATCTGTAAAGTATTTATAGGACTGTAAGGATCTTAATGACCGTCTCAGGGATGCCTATACTTCTAGAGACACCCGCTATAACACCAGATCTTAAGGATCTTGGTGTGTCAAGGGACCTTGTAATAATAGGTCTGGACGTACTGGAATTTCCATCTTACTCATTATAGGGTTTTAGAGTCTTCGTGGCCCTCCACTGTCTCCTTTGAATTTCCTTTAGGAACGTTGAAAACAGGAAAGATATGTACATCAGAACTAGAAAAAAGCTAGAAAAAAGCTTCTGGATCTGGTAGTTCAGAGAAGTGGCCATCAGATATACATAGGGTATCATCCAAATCTGAGTCAACCCTGAGGATACGTCGGGACAAAGTTGCCATTTCACCTTGACCACTGTTACTCAGCTCAGGTAATCAGCCATTTTATTCTGAGCCCCTAGTTGTTCTCCTTTGCCCTGCTCATCATGGATTGTAATTCCCTCATCAATAAGTGGCTGTGAGACCCACCTTGACGATTGATATATGATTCATTTGCATTGATATTTGAGCAAATTCTGACCCACTTCTTCAGCAACCTTTCGAAGTGAAGAAGTGCCCTGAAAATGACTAGTATTCCATAACACTGGATGGAAATTTGTTCCTTCCCTTATCCACAGACCTTGTGTAACGTGGTCCAGACAATGTGTATCCAATCCTTGAAAACTGGAATCCGAGCTTATAATTGCCCAATGAAGTTCTGTTCATATAAAACCCAGAGACATATTCTCTCTTTCAGCTACCAGGTAAGGTGTAACTCCACTGATGGTGACATCTTCAGTGCCTGGCTCCAATTCATCTTTCTCTTGTTGAACTGAGATAGGAAGGACCTTTGAGGAATCCTGAGATGCAATTGAGCCCATCTGACAAGTCTGATGGTGGAAGCCAGGATTCCTAGTAGTTGCATCTACTTTCTTGCTGTTACCAAGCAAAAATGAAGAAACTGGATGAGAAAACTTCCACCATCTGTGGAACTGTTCCTGACATAGGGGAAAGCCAAGTATAGAATACTCCACCCAGAAAAGTTATCCTCTGAGCTGGCGTGAGACTGCTCTTGTTGGTATTTAGCAAGCAGCCAAACTTCAGGTGTTCTGAAAGAACTATATCCCTCTGTGCACCTGCCTTCTGTGGGTCTGAGGCTGCCAGTAGTAGATCATCCAGATAATGGTACCAGGTGGTGTCACTATAAGCACACATAAGATTCTTGGGGCTGTAGTGAGGCCAAATGGTAGGGCTCTAAATTGGAAGTTCTCATCTGAGATAATGCTGAAGATCTAGGACTATTGGAATAATAGTAAGCATCCTTGAGTTAAATAGAGATAAGGAAATTGTCTTTCCAAATTGCTGGGGATATGGATCTGATTGACTCCATCCCAAAGGCTCTGTCATTCAGCCTATTGTTGGCCCTTCCTAGCTCCAATAAAGGGCTTCCATGTGTCTTTACTTTTAGCATCGGAAGAGAGGCAAACATTGTCCCAGGAATCTCTCTTGTTAAGGGACCTAAAAAATCACATCTTCGTCCAGGTTTCATACATATTCCTTCAATACTATATCTCTGAATCATCTGTCATCTGTCTGAATTCTCTTGTTGGTATAGAGACTCTTGTGTCTGAAGCTTCAGTGCTATACCTTCTTCATAGCTCTATTAGAACCTTGAAAGGCAGGTTACCAACTGCCATGAGTTACCTCTGGACTTTACCCTACAGGGTCAGTAATTCAATGTATCTCAGAAATGCTGGTCTCTGGAGGTTTTCCTGTCTGACCCTGAGGAGCTGGATTCTTCAATCTTCAGTCCTGAGGTACAAATATCGTGCAGCCCTCATCTGCTTTTTAATGGATTCATCAAAAGCTTTCCTAAACAGCAGCTCCCCTTCAAACAGAAGGGCCTGGAGGGCACACTTGGAGAATGAGTCATCGTCCCAGAAGCAGAACCATAATGCTTTCCTAGTTGCTATAGATAAAGCCATTTGTTCGAGAGAATAGTTACATCTAGGGAAACTTCTGTGAAGAAGTCACTTGTAACCTGAAAACTCCAGACTGCATCTTCAATCTTGGCTCTTAATATCTCTCTCTACAGTAGCATTTAGATCTTTAATCACACTTTTCATGATTCTAGAAACAGCAGTGAAAACTACAGTTGGATGACAACCTGCATCGGCAGGCATATAAATTTGGACAGGTCTGCATCCACTTTTGATCCATAGGCTTGTGTAAAAAAATGCAGAGTTGTCAAGCGGTAGCATCGTCCCACCTGTCATGTGGCTGCACCGGTATAGGTGATGCTTAAGCAGCTACCTTATGGAGACAGTCAGAGCACAACTGTTTTTTTCCATTGCTTTCTCATCAGAACCAAAACATGGTGTAGATTCAGAAAATTCTCAAAACAACAGCACATGGAGAGACAAAATAGTATAAGAACAGCCAGGTGCAAACCATATAAACACTCCCTCAAGTGCTTTAAATATTTAAAAATAGATTCAGAAAATACCATGAAACTTCCTTTGTAAGCTATGTCAACATGTCCTGTGGCTGCGCAGGTATAGGTGAAGCTGAAGAGGTTACCTTCTGAAGACAGGCAACGCATAATGGTTTTCTTACCACTGCATTTCCATCACAATCAGAACATGGTGTAGATTCTGACATAAAATAAACAAAACAAAAAAAAATTACATGTGGTGAAGTATAAAAGTACAAAAGGGCACTGTCAAATTCTATAACCAAGAAAACAGTCAAACAGATTTAAACCGGCTGAAAACAGCACTTTTTAAACCGGCTGAAAACCTGCAAATGCTTAACAAATAAGTTTGGGATGTTTACAGTAATTTCCTCTCCATTTTAGGTACTTTCTGGCAATTGCACTAATCCAAGATGGCTGTATTCCCATAATGCAAGTCATCTGTATTGGGCCTTTAAGGCACAAACTGCACATGCACGGGCGTCTTCCAAGTGCATTTGCTGTCTAGAGACTGGGGAGAGAGCTTGGTCTGTAGCATACATGGCCCTTGAACACCCAGAGAACGGGAATAAATCTCTGGGACTGAGGGAAGCATAAGAAATAAAGAAAAAATGCATGCAAGGTGATAAAAAGGCAACAAGGTGCAACTCTGGACGGGGGAAAGGGGTTAAAACTTACCTTTTTCCAGCGCTGGGTGGGGAGCTCTCCTCCTTCTCTCCTCCTCCGATCCTCCTCCGTTCCGCCCCGTCGGCTGAATGCACATGCGCGGCAAGAGCTGCGCGCGCATTCAGCCGGTCGCATAGGAAAGCATTATCAGTTGCTTTCCTATGGACGCTGGCGTGCTCTCACTGTGAAAATCACAGTGAGAAGCACGCAAGCGCCTCTAATGGCTGTCAATGAGACAGCCACTAGAGGATTAGGGGGAAGGCTTAACCCATTAATAAACATAGCAGTTTCTCTGAAACTGCTATGTTTATAAAAAAATGGGTTAACCCTAGAAGGACCTGGCACCCAGACCACTTCATTAAGCTGAAGTGGTCTGGGTGCCTAGAGTGGTACTTTAACGGCATCACGGTATAAGGCAGTAAAGGCACAGCTGCATAATGCACCACAGTTTAAAGACATCACAGTTTAAATGCATCACAGTATAAAAAGCATTACAGCTAACATGTCAAACTCAAAGGCTTACATGGGCCAAATAAACACGGTTTACGTTTTTGTGGGCCCCAAACTGATTCCAACCCGGAAGTGACGGAAAGCCGCAAGTGTTGTTATGACGTAATGATGCTTGCAGAGATATTGTGGTTATTAGGAAACCAGCTAAACTGTGAGACCAGGCAGACGTGGTAACTAGGTGATAAATCAACAAATATCACAAAAATGAAAATGTTATCACGATAAAAAAACCAGAGTGGAATGATATATATATAAATAAAATATCTTATTTAATAATTAAACTATATCTATTTATTAGGCCCTTTTAATCTTCATTAAAGACTCTGATGGAGTCTAATAGAGCCTGGATGGAATCTTATTGGGCTGTTGGGCTTGAAAGTGGTGGTGGTGACTGATAACCCGCTTCCCCTCGGCACATTCACAATCTGCTGCCCCACACCCCCATCCAAATTCTACAAAACCCCAGCACCCCCTCTAATAAACCCCTGTCCCCACCTCTACTAAATCCCAACCACCCCTGTACAGCCCCCACCTCTAGTAAACTCCAACCCCCCCTGTACAAACCCCAACCACCCCCTATATTAAACCCCAACCCCCCGTTCAAAACCCAAGCACCCACCTCTATTAAACCCCAACCCCCTGTACAAAACCTCAGCACCCTCCTCTATTAAACCAACACCCCTGTTTATAACCCAAGCCACCACCTCTATAAAACCCCAACCTCCCCTGTAAAAAACCCAACCCCCCTGTTCATAACTCATGACCCCACCTCTATTAAACCCCAACCCCCTGCACAAAACCCCAGCTCACTCCTCTATTAAACACCAACCCCCTGTACAAATCCCCAGCCCCCACCTCTATTAAACTCCAACCCACCTGTACAAAACCCCAGCCCCCACCTCTATTAAACCCCAACCCCCCTGTACCAAACCCTAGCCTACACCTCTATTAACCCCAACCCACCCGTACAAAACCCAAGCCCCCACCTCTATTAAACCCCAACATCCCTGTTCAAAACCCCAGGCCCCCCTTTACAAAACCCAAGCTCCCACCGCTATTAAATCCCAACCCCCCCTTTACAAAACCCCAGCCCCCACCTCTATTAAAACCCCAACCCAATGTACAAAACCCAAGCCCCCACCTCTATTAAACCCCAACCCCCCTGTACAAAACCCTAGCCCCCACCTCTTTTAACCCCAACCCACCTGTACAAAACCCAAGCCCCCACCCTTAAAAAAAAACCAACAACAATATTAGCCTCCAGACTCCACTCATCTGCGTCTATTCCCCTCTGGACCGTCTCTGCTTGCCTCCCCCCTTCCATGCGCCTCTGGACCACCTCCATGCACTTCTGGACCGGCTCCACACGATTTTAGACCGCCTCCGCCAGATTCAATTCACCTCCGTGCGCCTCCAGGTGACCTGTGCAATGAATATCTTTGCTGGGCCGCAAAGATATTCATTGTGGGCCGAATGCGGCCCATGGGCCGCGACTTTGACATCCATGCATTACAGCATAAGGCACAGCTGCATAATGCACCACAGTTTAAAGACATCACAGTGTAAAAGTACCATAGTATAAACACACCGCAGTATAAAGGCGCCATAATATAAAGGCACCACAGTATAAAGGTACCCTAAAATAGCAAAAACAAATAAAGTAATGAAGAGAAAACACATACATGTCCATGAGTAAAGGGAGCAAAATGCTCACATCCTAAAGGCTATAGGACAGGAAAAAGACTGAGGGACCCATGCAGAGATACTTCTTTTAAAGGCATTTGTTTTATTCCTGTCCTATTGGCTGTAAGGGGAGACGCCAACCCATATGTATATGCTGCCATGATTAGCCAGGAAATAGAAAAAAAAAAAATATATATATATATATATGTATATATATATATATATATATATAAGTTAAAAATGAACATTGAAAAATAAAAATTTATAGTAATTACTGTAAGAAAAAAGGGTATATGTGTCACAAACTCCCCTTTTCAAGTGAGTTTGCAACGAGTTCCTGGAGGAGCCTGCTTGCCAGCCTTCTGCCCACAGACTATAGACCTTGTAAAATGTGATATAAAAGTCTCCGTTCGTGTATTTGGACTATATGGTTCGGGAACCGAACAGCCGCACGAACCGAAGACCACCCTGGAGCTTGTTAAGCCTAATTGCTACTTTGTAAAAATTTCCACCTCAGTGTTCCAAGTGTTCGTCTGGGTGGCCACAATTCCTATGGACGACCACGAGGTGGCGGCCATCTTGTTTGCATGAACGCAGGCAGCGGTATTTGGTCGTCGAGTTCATGGAACTATTTTCGGATACTGAAACTCCTGAACACTGCTGGACTTCCATGATCGCCTGCGTTCGGTTCAACAACACTTAGAAACACACTGTTCGATGGAAACGTTCCCACAAACAAGGGGAACAAGCTCCAGGGTAAGACTATTGACTATGTTCGGTAGTTTATTCGTTTTAAAACTACCGAACTAGACCAACCGCAAGCCCTGATTATCTGGAACTGTTTTGGGCATGGGACCATGCGTGCGGTCGGTCAAACAAATGACTACCAGGAAATTCCTGAACCCCTGAACTTTTCTGGGTGATTTTTGGTTATGTTGGTCACCCAGATCAGGGCTATCAGGGGATGTAACGTTTGTGGGGTTTTTATGTATTTTGGGGTACTTTTGAGGTGTTTGGAGAAAAGTATGTGTTTTCTGTGCTTGGAGATAATTGGATTAGATTAGTACAGTTCCTGATCCAATTATCTCCCAGGCACAGAGGAAGGATTTTATAATTATGTATGGGAGTGTCCTGGATCTGAGAGCCAATGTAATTGTGTATTTGTTTCTACTGTGGTTTACTGTCAGGTCAAGGATGGAGTTCCCCTTGCATGGGGACATGCATATAAGGCCAGTTGTGACTGCCAGTAAAAGTATTCCAGCTTGTACTTCCAGAACTATGTGTCGTCTGGTTACTGTCGTCCACTGCCTGTGTGTGTCTAGAGCGAATTCCCCATTTGGTTCCAGAAGGAAGCGGTTCCAGGACCCCAGTCAAGCCACGGCGACTGTGGGCAGAAGTGCTGCGGTTTGTCCCCTGTTCCAGCTAGGAAGCAGTCCTTGGCGGAGGTACCAAGCCGGGGTACAAGGAGCTCCGCTACAATATTGATGTGTAAATAAAAAGGGGAAAAAAAATATAAAAAGTTAAATAGATCAAAATCGGTATTGAGGCTATATGGGTGTAAAGTATTTAAAAAGTACACAATTTCTATCTTGTCTTGATAATGTTACCTCCTCTCCATTCGTGTTTCAATGTGAGGATACCCATGAATTTCAAATGCCCAGGATCTTTAAGATGTATATTGAAGTGAAAATACACCAGATAGTTCTTATAACCCTTTTCTATTTTGTGACATTGTTCTGCTATTTTTGTTTTTAGGCATCTTTGAATGAATATCAAATGGCCAGGACCTTTATGATGTATATTGAAGTAAAAATACACCAGATTGTTCTTATCATTCTTTTCTATTTTGTGACATTGTTCTGCTTTTTTGTTTTTAGGCATCTTATAATCCTACCTACTTATTGAAGGCTGCAAATGCACTCAAATAGATATATCACATTTCTGGTGTTACATGCTGATAGGGTTATCTGTTCGGCTGAATCATAGGACTAACAGCCTTGTGCATTGCAATGATGTCACATATGTAGTTTTGCACATGACACATTAGCTGAAGTGGTCTGGGTGCCTACAGCATCCCTTTAATTGCATACACGAGGCTCTTGCAGTGTCTAGGAAGCTACTAACAGAACCAGGGCCAGATTAACATAGGGGCTGATGGAGCTGCAGCTCCAGGCCCAGGCCCAGGCCCAGGCCCATGGAATAGGCCCATTAAAAAAAAAAAAAAAAGGGGGGGGTTTTACACACACCACTCTTGGGTTTGCCACCTGACTGGTATTTTACCAGCACAGCCGGTATTTGAGGCTGCCTGGCTGTGCCGGTATTGCAGTAATACCGGCATTACAAATGCAGATATTTTTCTCAGTATAAATGGAGATTACTCTGCAATACCAGCACCAGCCAGTAGGGGTCACTGTGTGTGGAGAGAGGAAGTTACAGACTATCCCTCAAACAATTGAGCAGTGAGATTGCAGGGGCATGATCTAGAAATCAAAACTGCTTTATTAAGCTAAAGTTAAAGTTGTTTTGGTTACTCTAGTGTCCCTTTAACTCCTTAAGGACCAAACTTCTGGAATTAAAGGGAATCATGACATGTCACACATGTCATGTGTCATTAAGGGGTTAAGTAGGTGATCTTTCAAAATATGTCAATGTTTTTCTAAAAAAAATAAAAATAATTTCTCTGCTTTTAGTGTTAAAATCTAATGTTAACAAAAAGGTTAAATTATTATTTTGAGCACTTTCTTTAGACTTCTTAGAAATCTGTTCATTCCTATCAAGTATATTGATTCGTTCTAAGGTAGATTCTAAGGTTTCTTCTTTAAATCCTTTTGCATAAATTTTTCTTTTAAATTCTCAGCTTGTTATTTAAAAATGGATGGCTCAGAATAATTATTAAGTATTATCCCTTCTGTATTACTATTAAAAAATATAATGAAAGCTTGGGCTGTTGATATAGAACCATTCCAAATAAAAAGGAAATCATCAATATATCTTAAATGTGAAACTAGGTTTGCTACCCAGCCATGTCCATGCCAAACAAATCTTTCCTCCTATTCAGTCATAAAGAGGTTATTATAGCTGAGTGCAAACCTGGTACCCGTAGTAATACCATTTTGTTGTAAATTAAGAGTCACCAAATCAAAAATAATTGTTGTGTAAAATAAGCTTCTATTATAAAATCAGTTTGCCTTCTGTTATAAAATCATAGTGCCAACTTTTTCTAAAATGGCCCTATCAGCATGGCATCCCTGCTGGTGTGGGATAATTGTCTAAAGAGACTGTACAATTAATTTAATTAACATATAATTATCATTCTAAGTAATATTTTGTAGCTTGTTTAAGAGGTTCAATAGTATTCTTTAAATGGGATTTAGCTTCTCTAACAAACTGTTGCAACATGATATCTATGTATTCCGAGAGATTGCACAGAATTGAACCAATGCCTGACACAATAGGGCGGCCAGGGGGGAATATTTACATCTTTGTGTGTTTTTGTTAGGAAATTTAAAATATTTAAATAAATTTGAATATATTTAAAATCTCCTTCAGTCTTCCTTTATCTAGTAAATTATTAAGAGCAATTTTAATATCTGAAATCTTTTTTGATGTCTTAACCCGGATCATGTTTCTCTAAAATAATTTTCCTGTTTAATACACGTGTGAGAGCTATATGATTGGTCTGTTTTTCTTTGTTTGATGGCATATCTAAAAAAAGAGGTTTCATCAAACTTTTCTGAAAATAAGACATGATATCTGTTGCTTTTTAATGAATCTCTTGGTGAACTTGATCTTTGATTTTCATGTTTCTTATGTATTTCACTCTTCTCTTTTACCCATGAATATTTTTCTTTTCTATATTCATCTAGGTGATAGATTCTCATAGATATGTTTAAAAGTTTTTGGTCTAACAACCAATGGTGATTCTTTTTTTCTAGAGCGTATTTTTCTTGTCTTTGTTTTTGCTAAGGTGGTCTTTTGTATCCTTTCTACATTATTGGAACTGTGTGTCTTTACATATAATTTTACATATAATTTGTCCCTAGAGTAATCAGTTTTTTGACCTGTGTTTATTTTATCATCCTTTATCTTTGTGTTCTTTGGTGATCTTGTGACGTATCTTGATAGATATTTTCTGTTTGGTGAGTATCATCTGTATTTTTTTTTTTATTATTATTCTGACTTGTATGTCCTTACGTGTATAATCATGACTCACTGTGCGATGTTTAAAATTAACATTTTTCAGTAAAAAAAATTCTCATTAATTTTACATTCCAAGTTTTATAATTTTGTGGTCTTCCGGTTTTATATGTATGAACTTGATCATGTGCTTAGTAATATTTATCTATATATATATATATATTTTAAAGTTTATTGAAGAGTTCAATCGATACAGATATCAAGATAGGTGAGACATAGTATGCAGAATTATAGATTTTGCAGTTACATCATTTGGTTTTGAATCATCAACAACACATCAAGGGCATAGGTCACTCTAGTGGTACTGCAAGTCAGTGCATTTTTGGTCCAGGTGCAGGGGGGGGGATCGGTGATCTGTATTCCAGGTGTTTGCTAGTTTGACCCAGTGGGTGGCTTAGCATGGTATTGTGAGCTTTGTCTATGAAACAGTGTGGGTGGATGCCAGCAGTAATAATAGCAGTAGTAATAATGTAGTATGTTGGGCTAGACACTATTAACCTTTTTATGGCGTGATTTAAGATGAGAAAACTACATCTGGTAGGTGATTTGTGTAGTTGGGGTTTATGGGTGGTGGGTTACCTGTCACCGTCCAAGGTGGATAGTGGGTTAGCATGCTCTCAGGGTTCCCCGAGGGCTAAAGTTTTCATTTTCACTTGTGTTTGGTTATGTCATGTGGGGTCGGATTTCATGAATGAAATCCAGGGGTTCCAGGTGTGTGTTTTGTGGTGGTATTTGTTTGTGAAGGAGTTCTTCTATGATTCTCATCTTGTGGCGGACTGCCAAAGTATCACCGCCACAGATGCCCTATTTCCAATAAAATAGCGCTAATAATCCAAAGAGTGTATGTAACGGATCACGGCACTCCAAGCACTCCAGTAGACACCATAACCACCACAGACCCCACAAACCGCCGCAGCTTGGTTGGGGTCTAGCCGCCTCCTTCCTACCCTGGACCTCCGACAAGGCTCCAGGTTCCAGTGGGTGAACCTCTCTTACAAGAGAGGGAAGCAGGAACAAGCTCTTACAAGAGCTTAGAAGTGATTATCCAAGGAACCATGCAGAGCATAGCAGTCCCTTGTAGTGATATATAGTGATGTCACGAACCGTGAACTTCCGCAAATGTTCGCGAACCGGCGAACCGCCATAGACTTCAATGGGCAGGCGAATTTTAAAACACACAGGGACTCTTTCTGGCCACAATAGTGATGCAAAAGTTGTTTCAAGGGGACTAACACCTGGACTGTGGCATGCCGGAGGGGGATCCATGGCAAAACTCCCATGGAAAATTACACAGTTGATGCAGAGTCTGGTCTTAATCCATTAAGGGCATAAATCACCTAACATTCCTAAATCACAATGGATATGGATTGACACCTGACATATGACATATTGACACCTTGACATACGGATTGACACCTGTCCTCAGAGCCCCTGATACACACTGACACAGAGCAGAATAGAGACTGTTCCTCCTACATAGGGTCACTTGGCAGATATGGATTGACACCTGTCCTCAGAGCCCTGATACACACTGACACAGAGCAGAATAGAGACTGTTCCTCCTACATTGGGTCACTTGGCAGATATGGATTGACACCTGTCCTCAGAGCCCCTGATACACACTGACACAGAGAAGACTAGGGAATATTCACTAAATGCCAAACATTGTTATACAGGGGAATATTCAGTAAATAAGGATAAGGGGGGACCTACTGTCCTCCCCCCCGGCCCCCACCCCTGCACGGTGGGTGGGGGCCATAAATCTCAATGGGGGGGGACCTACTGTCCTCCCGCCCATCCCCACCCGTGAGCGGTGGGTGGGGGCCATAAAAATAATGAGGGGGGGGACCTACTGTATGATGTTGTATCGATCAGGTAGTGTAAGGGTTACGCCCGCTTCACAGTGACAGACCAAACTCCCCATTTAACGCACCGCAAACAACCGCAAACAGTCCATTTGCACAACTGCAAACTCCCCATTTGCACAAGGTTGGATACCAAGCTAGCCATGTCCCGTTCCTTGTCCTCACTGATGTCATTGAAGGTCTCTTCCTCCACCCAGCCACGTACAACACCAAGGGTCCCCGAAAGGTGACAACAAGCCCCCTGGGACTCCTGCTGTGTTTGGTCTTCCACCTCCTCAAAGCCACCTTCCTCCTCTGACTCCTCTTCTTCAGACTCCTCTCTCTGCGTTGCCTTTCTCTGCGTTATTATAAGGTGTGTTAAGTAGTATTATTCTTATCAGTTTAATCCCTGTTATGTGCCTTTTTTTGGTTTGGTTTTTGAAAATACAGTGCAGCACCAGAGGCCCGAAAAATTAGGCATGTACACATGCCTGAAAAATTAGGTATTGTTGTTTGTTTCCCAGGATGTTTGTTTCCCAGGCAGAAAGTGCCCTAAAACAGTGTTCCCCAACCCCCAGGCCGCGGACCGGTACGTAGATCAAACGTTTACCGGTCCGCGGCGATAAAAAGGTTGGGGAGCACTGCCCTAAAATATTGCGGCTTGAACCCTAGTTGGTGGCGGATAAGTCACGCAAATCAACCGGCATTCAGAGCTAAAATACAGCAGCGTGTGGACCATTTTTAGCCCAAGGCAGCTCATCTCATCAGGCCTT